TCACAGTCCTGGATGCTTTCCATTTTGACCATCAGACCCTCAGCAGAGAAATGGAGGCTGCCAAGGCCAGAGAGGGTGAGTGATACCATTTACAATTCTGTATTTCAGAAGTTCTGATTAATCCAAATGTGTTGAATTTTAAATCAATCAAACATCCTTGTCTTTATCAAGATGTGAGTGCCGCAATGGAGGCCGATGACGAGGAGCAAGCTGCAGCCGACGAATCGGAAGCAAGCGGTGATGAGGAGGCAATGGAGGTAGAGGGTAAAACCGATCCATCTGATGTCCCCATGGAAACGGACACCAACAGTGGAGAAAATGGTGTCGTCTCCAAGAAGGCAGCTACCCCTGTAGCCAAGGTGCCGGCGGCTCCCCCCCCCATGGCGGTGTCCAGCGGGCTGCCGCAGAGCACCGAGGAGCTGGGGACTCTGATCAGCGCCATCCACCAGACCGTGACTAACAGCGTGCTGCCCCGCCTGCACAAGTGTCTCAATGCAAAGGTACAATACACAAACACACTAATACCATTTAACAGGTTTGCATTTTGAGATCCTTTTGGTTGCATTAATGTGGCAAGTATGTGAGATGTCACTCAACCTCGGCTCCTAAGTTTTTAATAAAATGTGTAGCCAAAATACAGACAACCCCTTAAAAAGGCAAAAATGTCCCAATATGTTCTGCTATGAAAATAAAACAATATATATATATTTGTTATAACAAAATAAGTTTAGCACTGGCTTTAAAATCCAAGTTTTTACAATGTTCCATATAGTCACTTTTTTTCATGCCCTACGGTACAAAAAATAATTAAAATCAATGTTGTTGCTAATTCATTGACACCAGACAATAAATACAACTGACATGACTCTGACATTATTGCACTCTGTGTGTATGTTTTGTCTAGATCAAGCGGGACGATGAGCACAAGGCAGTGAAGTCGAAGGATGTAAAGGATGAGGAAGTGGCCAGAATACCGATCGCCTTCGCCATGGTCAAACTGATGCAGACGCTGCCACCGGCCATCATGGAGGTCAACCTGCCTGGGTATGCTGCAGCTGTGGTGGATGTTGTTTGTTAAAACATGTTGATAATTGTATGTAAAGATCAGGATCACTTAAGATTCTGGTGTGATGTTCATTTAAAATTCCGACATTTTACTGATATTTCGTATTTTTCTCATCCAGCATCCTGATCAAGGTGTGTGTGGTGCTGAGGAACCGCTTCCAGGAGGTCCGTGACGTGGCGAGGGGGACTCTGGTGAAGATCATAGAGACTTTAGGCTTCCGCTACCTGCAGTACCTGCTCAAAGAGATGCAGGGGCTCCTGGCTAAAGGCTACCAGGTACGAGAACACATAGAAACACAACCGTAGAAGCATGTCGGCATCGTCTTTAAAAGTCCTAATGTACCCGTCTGTTTCTCTGTGCTCCCCTCTGCCCAGGTTCACGTGCTAACATTCACAGTTTACCAGCTGCTGACAGTCCTCAGTCCAACCCTGAAGAGCGGAGACCTGGACGCCTGCATGAACATGCTCATCGACGTGAGAACGCACCACAAACCCACATAGAGCCCACTATTTTATACACAATATATTCAAAGTTTTAGTTTTTACCCAATCTCCCCGTTTCCTGTTGGACAGATCTTCAACAACGAGCTGTTCGGGCCTGTGGCCGAGGAGAAGGACGTGAAGGGGATCGTCTCCAAGCTGATGGAGGCGCGACACAGCAAGAGCATGGACTCCTACGAGCTGCTGGCTCGCTACTGCAGCAAAGAGAGCGTCACCAAGTTCATATTGCCACTAAAGGAGGTGAGGGGGAGGGAATATAAAAAGACACTGGAGTAAATACAAGAATCCATATGAGTTTGAACTCTACAAGTCTTAAAACAGGTGACTTGACGTGATGCATTGACTTTCAGATGCTGGATAACTCAGCCAGTCTGAAGGTGTGTATCCGGGTGGGGGCCGTGCTGCGGAGGATGGTCCTGGGTCTGCTCGTCAACGATGGCATGACGTCTCAGGATATCTTGCTGCTGTGCCACGGCCTGGTCAGCCAGAGTCTGCCGCTGCTCACCAAGAGAGACCGGTACGCTCACACACACTTTGATCAACATCCAGAACACACCCATGTTCCTCTTGTACTAATTACCATGTATTACAATGTGTGTATTTGTAGAGAGAAATCCTCAGTGAAGCCCCCCCCAGACCCCAGGCTGCCCCCTCCCAGCTGCCTGCTCCTGCTTCCAACTCCAACGAGGGGGGGGGCGGAAGGCTCCAGTCAGCAGCCGCACCAACATGCACATCCTGGTGGACACCGGCCTCAAGGTGCACATTCAAACTCTCCCGCGTGTTATTAGCATTACTAGCGCAGTTCACTTCTATAGCAACTACATTCTTCTTTAACATTATTATCTGCATTGCATTTACTGGCTACGGAATATATTTTGGTGATCCATTTTCTATGTCTGGTCTAAATCGTTTTCTTTCCTGTGTTTTATCAAAAGAACAGATGAAAAATGCAGATTATTTGGTGGCCTCTTGTGGCCAAAGTGAACATTACAACAACACAAACTTTTGCCACTTTTAATAAAATTGAAAATGTAAGCAACTTCCAGAGATTATCGTGGTAAAGCATTTTTTTAATTAGTTGGAGTAAACACAGGAGAGCCAATTAAGATCAAACATAGAAAATTGATCACCAGATTATAAATATATTTTCCATTTGCCTCTCAGGGCTTCTGTGTATTAACCACTTTTCTACTGGAATAAATATTGCACATTTTCTTGACCATTAGAAAGAAGGAATGCCTTATGTTATCTCAGATGTCTGAAAAAGAAGCTGGATTGTTAATAAGGCATTGTGGGTTTCTGTCTGTTTCTCAGCTGCTCCACCTGAGTCTAAAGAAATCCAAAGTGACGTCCTCCGATCCCACGGCTCTGCAGATGCTGGATCCTTTCGTCCTGCTGCTGCTCGACTGCCTCGACTCCAGGCACGTCAAGGTACTGACATTTTCTTTTTACATAGGAACCTTTTTATCAGACCAAATTGTGAGCACCAGCCAATCAGACTCGGATATCCTCCCCCCCCCCCCCCTGCAGGTGATCACGGAGGCTCTGGTGGCCTTCACCTGGCTGCTGAAGTTCCCTCTCCCAGCAGTGGAGCAGAACGCAGACCAGATGACCAAGCAGCTGTTCGTCCTGCTGAAGGATTACTCCAAGGCCGGAGCGGCCCGCGGGGAGAACTACCAGCTGGTGCAGAACTGCTTCAAGGTACCCACAACTCACACAACACATATGTGTGCTCACACTTTGGAAAGGGAGAGCAATTCAATCAGGTTTTAAATGGAAACTGCTTCTTTGATCTACGATTTGTTGTCTTTCAGGCCATTACCATACTGGTGAAGAATATCAAAAGCAACCAGATCTCAGAGACACAGCTGCAAGTGCTGCTGGGATACGCTGAGGAGGACATCTACGACCAGTCCCGCCAGGCCACCGCCTTCGGCCTGCTGAAGGTAACCGCTCACATGTTGACATGAGTGTTTGTGGGGCTTTGCATAAAGATCACCCATGTACAATTTGAGAATGTGCCCCTGAGTTATGTGTTGAAATGTGTTTCTGTCTTTGTATCGCTCTCCTCCAGGCAATTCTGTCCAGGAAGCTCGTTGTCCCAGAGATGGAGGAGCTGATGAAGAAAGTGGCCAAGCTTTCTGTCACCGGCAACAACGGCGGGATCAGAATCCACTGTCGACAGGTACCTACACATAAAAAGAAAACAAGACAAGCCCCATTTTTACTATATGATGAAAACCGGTTAACACAAATGTTTTAAAATATGTGTATTCATCCAGTGTTTATGTTTTGCAGATCTATCTAAAATACCTGCTGGACTACCCCCTGGGGAAGAAGCTGAGGGGGCACCTGGACTTTGTGGTGGCGCAGCTGCACTACGAGCACGACACCGGCAGGGAGTCAGTGCTGGAGATGCTGGCCTACATCTTCCAGACCTTCCCGAAGGTTAGTACATTTACTCAAGTCTGAATACAAAATGGAATTGTTGTTCTCTCTTATTTTACCAATGGTGATTTCTGACTTTGCTTATTTGATCATTCCCGCCCAGGAGCTGCTGCTGAGGCATTGCGGCTTGTTCTTCGCCCCGCTGGCCCTGGTTGTGGTCAATGATGACTCGGCACGCTGTAAGAAAATGGCCGCCATGGCCATCAAGGCACTGCTGGCCCAGCTGGACATTAACCACCAGAACACCATGTACTCCTTTGTCAACACCTGGCTGCATGCAGAAAAGGTACAAATCCACTTGAAGAAAATGTCTTCAGTATCTTTGTAGTGTGTTTCATTATTGAGAAATATGGTGATGTCAATGGAAAGATATAATCATAAGTTTGAGAACATTCCCTCTAATACCACTCTTATATAATGAATATCATTCTCCTATCATATCATGCTGCTATATGTCTTTCAGGCATGCAGATGTGTGCGCTGCTTTTCTACGATCAAAGATTTGAATATTTTTCGGCACAAAAGGAAAGATAGCTTCCTAATGCTCTCGCCTTCCCCCCCCCCCCGCTCTCTCAGGCCAGCATGCGGCGTCTGGGCGCTCAGATCTGCGGCCTGTTCGTGGAGGTGGAGGAGGAGCAGTTCACCCGCCGCCTGGACGACCTGCTTCCTCTGCTGGAGAAGGAGATAAACCCCGTCAACTACGATGACGTGAGTGGACACCTTCACACTGTCTTTGGCGGAAAGTTTGAAACGTGACGAAAAGGTCCTTGAACCCCTGTGTGTGTTTCAGATCGAGGAGGAGCAGGACGAGAAGGGGGCGGACCGGCTGCTCTACAGTTTCCTCACCCTCATCACCAAACTGAGCAAACACTGCAGCCTGCTGGAGCTCAGACAGCCTCACGACACACTCACTCTTATCTGGGGTAAGGAAACAACACACTCTCTGTTACACACACTGTAATTTGTTGGAGTGGCGGTTCACCAAACATCCCACACATTAAAAGACTGGATCCAGCAGGCCGTTTAACATTTTCTTTTTCAATCTGATGGTTGACAACGGTTTCGTTAGCTGGGGATGATTTTATCTAAATAAAAGAATATTTACAAACTATTAGCAGACTTACAATAATAACCAAAATAATAATAATAATCGTAAATAAGGTTCAGTATTTCACTTACATCATTTCATGCATCCACAGGATTAAACTGCTCTCTTTTCTTTCAAGGTATGAATCAAAGGGAATCTAGAAGGCGGATCTAACATAAACAAAACAATCTGTTAAAGTTAAACTAAACATTTCATCAACTGATTTGAGTACAAACAATTTACAGCTCCATGTGCCAACTCACAGTTCCTTTGTTCTTCAGTCTCTGGTGGGAAGGAAGTGAGTGACAGGCCTGAAGGGCGGAGCTTTACAGGCTTTGGTGGGGGAGTGGTCTACACTTCATTGACAGAGGTGGTGATGAGGGTAGAGACTTTTTAACGCACAAACACACTTGCTCAAACTTTCCTTATCTTACAGGTCACATTGAAGCCCACCTGCGGTACCCTCACTGCTGGGTGTGGCTGACCTCCTCGCAGCTCTTTGGTCAGCTGTTTGCAGCCCATCCGGCGGAGCAGCTGGTGGCTGGGTGGAGAGGAGAGGGTGGAGACGCTTCACCTCAGTCCCCAATTACTGCTTTCATCACCAGCGGGCTGGACAAGAAGGTGCAAAACAGTTTTTTTCCAGCTTTGATCCAACATCTGCATTTCACCCTCATTGTTTAAACTCCCTTCTCTCTGTTTGTATGCCATTCAGATGAGAGAGCTGGCGTTGTCTTTCTGCCATCAGCTACAGTCCAAGTTCCTGGACACCGCCTCAGGAGAGCAGGTAACCATCTCCACCCAAAACACATTTCTGTTAAAGGATCAATTCAAATCACACAAGGTTTGATTGACAGCAATGTTCTGACCCGCCCACAGGTGATCAAGAACCTGCTGTTCGTCGGCAAGGTGATCTACCTCGTTTCCCCCGAGTCCGACGTCACGCCCGCTCAGGAAGAAGTGAAAGAGGAAGAGGAGAAGGAAGAAGAGAAAGGGGGGGAGGTGGAGGAGAAGGAAGAAGAGAAAGAGGAGAAGGAAGAAGATGAAAATGGCAAGGAGAAGGAAAAGGAAGATGAGGAAGAAGACGAAGAAGACGATAAGGACCGGCCTCCTTCCCTGCTGTGGCTGATGAAGAAGCTGTCGCTGATGGCAAAGAGAGAGGCGGCACACACTCCCAAAGTTCCTCTGAAGGTACACAAAGAAACATACAATAGAAATATAGAAAAGAGGTTAACTTCAGTCCCGTTCTCTAACGACTATAAACCAAGGGGCTGGAATTACTTCCAAAATGTATTTTTCTTAACAGTGAAAAAGATCTTTTAAATGTTTAATTCCTAAGATAGTTAAATGTATTTTCCTCCACTACTTCCCACAGAGAACGTGTGTGTTTAAGTTCCTGGGAGCGATGGCCATGGACCTGGGGAAGGAGCGACTCGGCCCCTATCTGAGCACCATCATCACTCCTCTGTACAGGGAGCTGGACAGCACCTACGCAGACCAAGGTAAGAGGGAAAACCTGTCTTTACAAAAAGGGGAAATAACCGTTTGACAAGTGGGAAAATGGCAGTGAAATAAACCCCTGCTTGTCTCTGTGTCCAGACCCCACCTTGAAGAACCTGGCTCAGGAGCTGATCGAGCTGCTGAAGAGACACGTGGGGCTGGAGAAGTTCTCTCTGGCCTTCTCTGGCGTCCAGAAGGAGTTTTCACAGAGGAGAGCCGCGCGCAAAAAACACAGAGCCATTCAGGTATGAAGACGTTATCCATACTTACACAAAAGCAACAACTTTGTTTCCAGCCATCGTCTAACGTTTGCCCTTTTTGTTTTCCAGGCGGTGGCTAACCCAGACATCGCAGCCAAGAAGAAACTCAAGAAGCACAGGAACAAAATCGAAGCCAAGAAGAGGAAGATCGAGTTCCTCCGGCCCGGTTATAAAGCCAAGAGGCAGCGGGGCAACACGCTCAAAAACCTGGCCATGGTGCAGTGAGCCGTGTCAGTTTAGCAAGCTGGCAAATTGACCAAGAAAGAGACTTTTGTGATAGAGGACATTTCCATGTATTTGTGGGATAACTGGGCTGCAGAAGTGTCACCTAATGATGTAACAATGACTTTCACTATTTTAATTCATGTCAAGTGACAAAGCAACAGCACAGGAAAGAGATGACTCTCCCTGGTGGTTTGCTAAGTGTGAAAACAAGGAGATTTTGGAAATTCTAACCATGAAAAATGATCTAATCCAACTCTTCCATGAGGGATCCAACAGCCTCCTGTGTGTGTGTAACAGAAACAAGACATCATGTGACAGCAGGATTCCTCTGTATTAGCTTATATAAACTTTAATATCCTGCTGTAAGAAAAGTGTAGACATGTCCTCAGATTTATATCCCGTGCAATTTCATGTACAACTTGTTTTTCTTAGTAAAAAGACAAGACATTTAAACGGATCTTTTGGTATCACTTGTGTTTAAATCAATCGACCCTTTACACAAAATGGTACAATCACTGATAGCAATCTTTACTGAGAATCATTTTCACTGTACAAGCAGATATAAATATGCAACCATAAAACTTTGAGCATACAGTTAGTGTTCAGTAACTCGATGACTAATATGCCAAAGCTGCACTCAAGGATTTCAATGAAAAAAAGGCTTTAACTACTTATTTAAAAAATAGTGGGAACAACACAAATGAACAGGAGGAGAAAACTACAATAGAAATCCATGACATTGTATCTGCCTGACGGTATTGTACAAAAACAGCCCAGGCTGCAGTAACACTCGGCCAGAGGACACATAGTGGGAAATGGAGTACTTTTTTTTTTTTTTAAAACCAGTGCCCAAATTTCTAAGAAAAAAACCACAAACATTTCATACAAGCCAGCAGACTGTTTACATAGAGATATGTTGGATTGAAAATGTGCTGCACTAAATATTGACATTCAATGCTGCTTGGCTAGTCCAGCATACGGTAATACAATTGTCTAATGAGTTTGCAATGCAGCCGATCGTAGTGATGTTTCCTCAAATCAGAAGCAAGACTTAGCTCTCACTGACTCCTGATATTTGTGTCTTTTTGGGGAAACACTGCCTCCTGGTGGACCTACTGGACATGTTCAGGCTTCACAGCGTGACCCCTCTGTTAGAAGATGAAGCCAACTGATGCAGCAAAGACACCTTATTTGAGAAAGCTAGAGGGTTATAGTAAATAGGATATTCACAAAGCCTTACATATAGATTCTTTCTAATCAATGATAACCTATTAGAAGTAGAATCGTAGCTTCATTTAACACGTCTGTTCACAGGTGTTTCACATTTTTATGCATTTCTAAAACACAAAAATAAAGATACCAACTTGTCTATCATTGAGGTTGCTTTAAAACCATCACGCAAGACACCAGCATTAAAGAGATGGGGGCATAATGTGTGTGTATGGGTGTGTCCAATCCAGACGTTACTGCAGCCTTCACTTCAGAGTCCCAGGCTTGAAAGGCTTTAGGCATTGGGAGGGCTTGGCCAAGGCTTGAGGTGGGAAGGAGTGCAATCTCGGGTCCAGGGGAGGGGTCAGTCACAAAGGCGTCATACAGAAGGGTCAAAGGTCAGGAGTATATACAGAGTGGGAGGAAGCCTTTACTGTCGGCTCTTCAGGGAGTCCACCAGCCTGCAGAGACGGAGAGCAAATACAATTCAGCCTCAGCAAACAAGGAACAGAACACGTACAATATGAACCAATAATGAATGGGTTATGAAGTGTAATAAACATCTTCTTCCTCCTCAATTGTCATTTCCTCTACTTAACATATTTTTTAAGTATATTTCACTACTATTTTGACTTTATCTCTTCATGGTTTGTATGTTAATTCCTACCATTCCATTGCCTCATCCAGGCCTGTGCCCTTCGTGGCCGAGGTCTTGAAGATCTGCCATTTCCTGTCTTTGAGGGCGGGCAGGCCCAGAGAGTTGGCCACCTCAGTGGGCGTCATCGCCTGGTCCATGTCCTGTTTGTTTGCAAATACCACCAGGATGGCTTTCTTCAGCTCTTCCTCCTGTGCGAAACACAAGGTCGCAAAATGACATCATGAAACAAAGGGAAGAGATAAAGCAACTATATATCAGTGTAATGGAAGCAAAAACACAGAAACTAAATACTTTGAGAACATTTATGACAATCTTAAATATGTGAAATAGGTAATGCCATCTCACATCTGGACGCAAATCAAGACACAGCATTGTTAGTTCAGAACTTAACTAATTACATTTGCAACTAGAAAATATGTTTGGCCCTTACACCTTGGATTTGTGAACTTGACAAATTGCTATAAATTACCACTGTACTAAAAACAGTAGTGGTTCAATTCCAGTTTCTAATGGGATTAAAATGATTTACATATATATGGTCAACAATGACTTATTACTAAATATTTTCAAGTCCCATTGTAGGACAAGTGGTAAATGTCACCTCATGATGGCAGTAGGGGAAAGGTAAGGATATTTAAAATTAGGCAAATTGATTCTTTGTAGGCATTAGACGTCAGGAAAATATATCCAGCACTAGTTGACTGGAGCTTGTATTGAAATATTTTTCCTATATATCTTGGTTTAATGTGATAGGGTGGAGTTGAAAATACGCCCACTAACCTCCAACATGGCCACCAACTCAGACTTGGAGATGCCCATCCTGTCACGGTCGCTGCTGTCCACCACGTAGATGACTGCGTCTGTGTTTGAGTAGTAGCACCGCCAGTAGGGCCTGTCGAAGAGAGAGAGGAGCACAACGGTTAAAAAGATGGGAGACAGAGAGGAGGACGAGGAGTAAAAGAGAAAAGCAGTGGGCTGACAGAGCAAGAAACAAAAATTATGACACAAGGCAATCACACATCACTCCTTTGACTTCCCAGTGCATCCCCGATCTGCCACTCACCTGATACTCGTCTGTCCTCCCAGATCCCACACCTGGAACTTCAGGTTTCTGTATGTGACGGTCTCAACGTTGAAGCCGATGGCTGTGCGGAAAGTAATCAAAATGGGTACAAATATGAGCCTGATTGGCACCAAAGTCTCATCTGGATGTGCAGTGTGAATTTCCTCTGGGTGTTGCTGTCATGGTAAGTGCTTATCAGACTCAACCCCCCTTGGTGGAAATCATGCAAATGTTTAGCATCTGATCATTTACATTGTAAAATAACGAGGAAACGATGCTAAAATAACTCTTTTGCAAACCACTGCACAGAAAGTCAGGATTAAATGCAACATGTAATGAATATTTAATTACAATCCTGTCTATGGACGACTAGAATATATTTAATAGTCTCTATGATTTTGATCCAGCTAATATCTTGCTTTAAAGCCGCACATGTGCGTGATATACTTTCATTTCAATGTATAAAACACAAACTGAGGGGTACTTAGTATTGGCACTTTTTTATCTGATAACCTTTTAAACAACCATCTGATTTTCCAATGGAATCAGGAGCTCGCCAACATCAGTATAATAATTAACTGTAGTAGTCCAATGGGTGAAACTGGTTTCTTTCATTTGCTCACCTTAAATCAAACCCTTCAGAGTGTGTCTAATACAAATGTCCACCAGACTGGTTGGCTGTGTTTACCAAGCCACGCCATGCAGTAACATTATTCATAATCTAATTGTGCTTGTATAGGTTGTTCTTATAAGAGAATCTAATAAACAGATATGTATGTATCTAAGGATGTGGAAATAATGGTGTGGGAATAAAAAAAAAAAAGTAAACCAGTACATACTGGGGATTGTAGTGACCACCTCTCCAACCTGCAGGCGGTACAGTATGGTGGTTTTTCCGGCGCCGTCCAGACCCAGGATCAGAATCCTCATCTCCCTGGTGCCAAACAGGCCCGAGAAGAGGCTAGAGAAGAAACCACCTGAAGATTTGACGAACAAGGAAACAGTGTTAATGCTGAGAAAGGTAGCTTTGGATTAATAATCAACTATAGCAGCAAATAGTTTGAAAGTGTTCAGTTACACATTACTTTGGTCTGTTCAAAACAATGCTGGGAATTATTTGTCATAGTTTTGACTAGCATTAAACAACTTAGATGATACAGCATATAAAGTGATTCAATGGTAAACCGACAATCAAATTAGTCGTTACTGTGCCTGCTAGAACAATTTAAAAAGCAGAGAGGAAGGTGAAAGACATGGGAGTGAATCAAACGTAAAAGAGTGAGTTTTTCAACATCCTGAAGAGCTCTTTTCCCGGATGTGCATGGATCACCTAACGTGTTGTCAGTGTTACTGAGGTGGTTAAGCAAGTTAGCTCAGGTTAGCTTAGCTTCAGCTATTGACGTTGTGGCATGATTGATTTAAATGAAGACACCAGGTTGTCGTGCTTTATTCCTTATGCCTATTAGAAGATATCTTAAAACGGCTAGCCCGAATAGCATAAAGACAAAACGTTCACAATCTGTCCAGACACAAACACACCATGGATGGAAAACTCACGGTATTCCCAGTAAATAGCTAACATTTAACGTTAGCTTGCTAGCAGGCAGCAGTTGCAATCCTCGTTAAATGAAGCAGGAATATACTATACAGAGCTACATCGGTATCTAATTACTCATATGTATGTAGGTTATACGTAATCAAAAGACACATGCATATTATATCGACGATTAGTTAAAATACTGACCCATTTCGATAAGACTACGGTCCTTCGTTCAGCTAGAAAAGACTTCCGTGTGGTTGACGTGTCGATGAACTGTCACCAACTCTGGCTTCGATTTTGTTTCTCAACATTCGACACATTCAAAATTGAATATTTAACTGTACATTTGATTTATAATAAACTATGCAACAAGTTAGAAAAAACGTCAGGAATATTTTTGACACATTTTGAGTCTTCTCGATTTTATGAACGTATTTTTGATTTATAAAAACATAAATATTTGTGTCGAAAGTGCTGTTAATGAAAAGAAGATGTACACAAAGCTTTGGTGCAGGGTACATTCATGAAGCCAAAACGGTGTAGTGTTCCCAGTTGTTTAAAATGAATTGTATTTTTTTTTAATATATTCTAAAATAGTTAAAGATTCAGTAATACAACTAAGAGTAATTATTCAAATATAAAAATAGAACATGTACATATATAAAAATACGGATTATGGGATGACCACAAAACTAAACAAAATACAGTAACGTCTATTCTCCTATAAGAGGATGAGCCACTGTAAATGGCGAGTTATCTTGAACGCAACACACATTCGACGAAGGAGTTGCCCTCTCTCAACAGCATCACATTTATGATCACCTCAGACAAGAACGATTTTGGAGATAGATGTAAAAGCTGCTTCATGCAATATTAATTTGATGCAAAATGCAACCCTTCTGAACAGTTTAGAATAACTTTATAATGCGGGAATTGCTCTGAGCTTTAATTATCAACGGATGGACCTGGTGCCTGTCGGCTGAGACATCATTTACGAGCGGCGGTGAGACAGACGAGGCGGGACCGGGATGGTGGAGCGGTCGGACCGAGCCCCTCTGCTGGACTGGGAGGAGATTCCGTCCGCGGAGAAGCCCGGAGGAACAGTACCGGTGGCAGCACAGGTCAAGGACCGACTGGCGAGCCCCTCCAACAACCGTACCTCACCAGGATGCTCGGCGCAGGGGTGGAGCAGCGGACCAGGGGGTCCCACTTCCAGCAGGTCTGTCCCCGACGGCTGCAGCGCCCCACCCGCGACCTCCAGCACCTCGGCGGGCAATGATGAAGCCCTGCATGCCGACAACGAGGAGCATCTCTCGGATTCAGGATCGACAGAGGAGTCGTTGGATGACAGGATGGTGAAATGGGAGGAAAAGGACCAGATCGTGTCGGTCTTTGTGGTTGCGTTCAATACCAGATCAGGTGGGACATCAAATATGCAACATGGAATTTTAAACACTATATAAGACACAATCAATGGAAATGATCTTTGTAGACAGGTGAAGGGAAAGCAGATGCCTCGAGTCGTCAAGCAATCCACAGTCTGACGCCCAAAATGCAGAGACCAAGTCTGCAGAACGTTCTCCTACAGGTGTGGCTTTTTCTGACCTGGCCATAAGTTAAGAGACATGAATAAAAGCCCTCTGTACCCTAAATACAGAACAGACATGTCAGGATGAGAGATGGGATGGAAATCAGTCAGCTGGTCCTTTATGGAGAGCAGGCCTATACATTTTTAATGAGGAGCATGTTGAAGACAGGGCGAGCCCCTGTGAAATAGTACCCAACAAGGTTATATCGCCTAGAGGGCTGATCAATTTAAGAATCATAAGATTTAATGTTTCTAAAGGATTTTAAAAAAACTCACAGAAGAGATTCCCTACAGGGTGGAGCTGGGTGCTTTATGATTTTGCAGCATGTCAGGTTGATCTGCAGAAAAGGGTGAGGCTCTAACAGGTTTTAATGCTTTTTTAGATTTGCTCAGTGAAATGGTCACTGAAATTAATACTTCACCACGACCACATGCCACACAGTGAAAAACCTTCTAGGTGGAGTATCTGGATTACATTTTGGTCTGTACAGTAGTAGTATAATACCACTGTTACACTCCACTAATGAGCTGATGCCACATTTGACCTTAGCACCAGATCAAGGGTTCACAGGGTAACACATGATAGGATAAAACAGGATACCTTTTTCATCAGGATGTGAACAGAACAGTGAATCTAGATATGAAGTAATATTATATATAATACACCACTGCTCTGTCTATTAATATAACTCTGTCGTTGTGCACCTGGAGCAGAAAACATACCCTTATGTTGTTATTTGTGTTCATATTTGCAGAATATTACAACCACGATGAATTGGTGTGTAGCATATTGCACATAGTTCAAGTGTTTTATGCACTCACAGCCAAATATGTTGTTTACAAAACTAACTCACTGTTTGGCAAGTCACTAGAAATTGCCAAATTTCTACACAGAGATTAAAAACTGAATTTCAATTGAGATTATTTTTCTGGCAGAAAAAGTTTAGTATATTTCCATTTTCAAAGGTTTTTAGTGAGTATTTATTAGACCTTTTTTATTAAAGAGTGCAGCATAAAAGTGACAGGAAATGAAGAAAGGAAGAAGCGGTAAGAGACATGCAACACCGTCATGAAGACACAGAGATGGTTCCTATTTTTAAGCAAACAAATGAGATCTAAAGATTTCCTCAAACACTTCTGAATCTGTTCTCTACTAGAGCACCAAGAAGATCAAGTACTTCCCCCATTAATAAAGCTGCATAAGGGTGACAGAGACAATATTATAATTTGATGATCATTTCTAAAATAATTGAATCAAGAACCACATGACAGAGCAACAGCATTCTGAGTTTGTTATTTTTTTCACAAATGGGATAGAAAGCAAGTATTAAAAACCCCTATGTCTCTAGGGGCCTTTTATAATGCACTTCCTGCACAGGAAATAGCTTTGTTAGACCCTGCATGATACTTAAAGCTAAATACATAAGTCAATAACAGCTGTCAGAGTGGTAATAGATCATCGTTGGTGTTCCGCCGCAGGTGGGTCATACAGACCTGTAGACTCGATCTGACAACTGCACTTATATTCCTGCTGGAACTCCACTGACGGAGCTAATGTGTAGCTAATGATTAGATTGAAAAACCTCACTGGCTGAGTCACCTTCTCCGTCTCCCTGCTCCGTATCACACCATATTTGCTCAGCTGCCACTCGAGCGTCAGCCCTCACATAATGAATTCTAAGGAATCCAGACGAGCTGTGACTGCTGTTTCGTGAGCAAGAGAAGAAATGGTGATCATTTATTAACAGTCTGGCCTTGTGTCAGTGCTCTGTGTGTGTGCTTTAACGTTATCTCTCTGTTGCCGGGGCGGGATAGGAAACATGCTGGAGTGGTGTCTGCCCAAAGACATGGACCTGGAGGGAGTGGAGTTCAAAGCCATCGCCAGCGGCTCCCACAGGGTCACCACAGACTTCATGTAAGCATGTGCACAAAACAGGACACAAACAAAGCTCGTTTTCATATTAGGATGCGGCCCCATGCCTCCTCCCTGGCAGGACAGAACCACACAAAGTGTTGCCTGGCAAAAAGAAAAAAATGCCCAGCCATCTGGCATTGCCTTTGCTTTTCATGACTCATGGATTCATCTCTCTCTCCCCTCCGTCCATCCACAGATACTTCCGGAAGGGCTCTTACTTTGGGCTCGCCTGCTTTGCCAACATGCCGGTGGAGAGCGTGGTGGAGCGGGGCGCGAGGATGAAGTCGGTAGGGATCCTGTCGCCTTCCTACACCCTGCTCTACCGCTACATGAGCTTTCTGGAGCATCAGGTCAGGTAAGAGGACCTTGTTTGTTGAAATACCTAAGATGTTCCTTCAACAAAAACAGCTCCAAATATAAATTGATTAGTTGTCAAGCATCACATTAATAGTCTATTGCCTATAACTATTTTGAAAATCAAGGCCATTTTTAAAGAAAAAAAGTAAAACATCTCTGATTTGAGTTAAAGGGTTATTATGCTTTTTGGGGGTTGTATTGTTTTATATTGTTTTTTGTGCATGTAAATGGTCTGCAAAAGCAAAAATCCACAAGCTCACTCCAAAGTGACTATTTCTCCCACACACAAATGTTTTGAAAAATATCCTTTAATTGATTCAACATTTCACCCTCAGAGCACTATGTCCCATGATACTACTACCACTTAGCGGTTTAATGTATGTCAACATTAGTCCTAAGGTTAGTTCCCATATGGCCACAAGAGGCTGCTAGTCAGACTCTTCTTAGCATAGTTCCTCTTTTCTCTTGTCTCAAATAGATCACTCACACTTTTTTCTCTTCCCATATATCAAAATCACACTTCTTTAACCCTATTCCTAACTTTGTTGGGGTTGAACGCCACATGAACTTCATTGTTAATCCCAAAATCTGTCACACTTTCTCTTTGAACACAGTTCTCTTTATATCCCTCTTTCTCTCCGCCTCAGTTCCCACACTCCTGGCCTCCAGTCATGCAGCGGTCATGCTCTTTACTCATCATTCACTGCATTGCTTGCTCCAGATTCCCCATCTGCTGACTGCCATGCCACATCAGATCAACGGCTCACTGTTGGTCGTTAAGTGTTTAACACATCAAGGAATTTGTGGATACTTTCCCTTTTTTTCCTCACTCCTTTTTCATTTCTGATCTTGTGTCTTATCTGTAACTCTCGGTACAGTATGTGACACATGAAAGCAAGCTGTTTGTAAATCTTATATAAGAACTTATACTTTGATTAGATGGTAGATTCCCCCTTTAAGGCCATGATCTCATTTGTTGCTCAATACATTTTTATGCAGCGGAAGTCTGCAGTGGTATTGATTAGCAATGTATTTAAGTAATTTATCCAGCAACCATTTGCTCTCAAGTCTCTCAAAGGTGGGAATTTGCTGCTATTCCCTTGTTTTCCATCATTTAAATTGGATATATGTGGAGTATTGGACTGTTTTTCAGACAAATCATTGAACTTTGATTTGAAGCTTTAGATGAATCCAGTTTTAATGTCCCTGAATGTCACTTTTTGCCAGGCTCCAGCTTCAGACCCCAGGCCACTACTCTCCTCTGGAGGCCTTCTATGAGGACAAGAGAGCAATACTGCCCCCCAGTGGTGATGGTGTTGTTAGTGCATGTCCAGCCAACGCCTGGGGGGCTGCAATCAACCACAGCATGCACCCTGAGATGAAGGTAAGGACATTTCCTCTTGTTTTTATGTTTACACCATATGACTCAGTAACCTTGGTGTCTCTGTTTGAGCAGATCACCCACCCTGCAGGCTGCATGTCCCAGTTCATCCGCTTCTTTGGGGAGCAGATCATGGTGCTGTGGAAACTGGCTCTCCTCCGCAGGCGCATCCTCATCTTCTCCCCTCCACCTGTGGGCGTGGTCTGCTACAGAGGTGAGAACGGAGTTATCGAAATGGAAATTTGAATAAATAGTTTTATGAGTTCTGCTTTCTTACCTAGTCAGATAAGAACATTGATACTCTAGTGTCTGTGTATTCACTGCAAAGCTGGAGCTAGCAGCTGTTTAGCTTAGCACAAATGCTAGAAACCGAGGGAAACTGCAAGCCTATCTCGGTCTAAAGAAAAATAAATTCACCTACCAGCTCCTCTAATGCTTTGCAAAAAAGGTCAAAACTTATAAATGTTATTGCTGAATTGTAATGGTTATGCTAGGCTAAGCTAACAGTCTCTTTTATTCTTACTGTTGGCAAGATAACGAAGTCAAATAAAAGCATGATTCTCTATAATTTGTTATATATTTGTAACAAATTATCTTATAAGCTAGCAAAACTGTCTTTTACTCATCTTTTTTTTGACACTGTCATGTCACATCAGCCTACATTCAGTTTTTATCACGCTGCATCAGTGTCGCTGTCTTTCTCTCCCAAACGTGTTGATACTTTTTCAAATGTCATCCCCCACCCACCCTTGTCTCTCTCAGTGTACTGCTGCTGTTGCCTGGCAAACATCTCCATCCCCGGGATCGGCGTGGCTGTGCCTGAGTTCCGGCCCTTCTTCTACGTTAACGTGGCCGATATCAGCTCCCTGGAGAACGAGCTCTCCTACGTAGCGTGTAAGTAGATGCTCAAAAAAGGACTGGGTGTTTTTTTGCAGGTACTATTAGCATCTCCCTCTCAAATCTTCTGTGTGTTTGCATGTTAAGGTACTACTGAGAAGATCTTTGAGGAGAAGAAGGATCTGTATGACGTGTATGTAGACAATCAGAATGTAAAGACCTACAGGGATGGTTTGAAGCCTCTGCTCCGCCTCAGCACCGCAGACAGGGAGAAATATCGCAAACTCACAGAACAGAGGTAGGTGACACTGCTAACAACATCATAAATTATAACCATTCAACAACCAATACACCGTCCTGCTGGCCTAAATACAAAATGGGTATTAATCCGCACCTGAAAATAGTCCCCAACACACTAAGCTAAGATGGTGACCATAGTAACTAGCAATAAAACATTGGCATTCAGCTCAAAGCACCACTGTTGTTAGGTACAGGCTCACACAGCTGCCAGCACAATGTGTACCACATTAAAATATGTCAGTATAATCACAAATAGTACACTCCCCTGCAGGTTTTAGAGGAAAAGCTAGGAATAAAGTGTGTGTCTGTGTGTGTGCGCAGGCAGATGTTGCTGTACTCCCAGGAGGAGAATGGAGACTGTGTGTCCAGTGAAGAGGATCTATTTATTCTGTAAGTACAACATGATTTATTTATCCAGCCATTGGAGCAGTAAGCACTGTAACACAGAGCAGACACAAATAGATGTTTAAGTCATATGACAGTCAGCTTAAATGTCTTCAATTGAAATTCTAAGATCGCTTTTGTATATATTAAAAAAACATTATACATTTTTTGTGGAGCCGGGCTTAAGAGCAATATAATAGTACTCATCCTTCCTTGTAAATCTCTGTTTATCCAGGTTTTTCCTGGAGCAGAACAACAGGATTTTCCAGACCCTCAGCGAGGTGGCAGCGAGCCCCGATCCCACGCTGACCCATGAGAGTGTGAGGGCCATGGGTCTGGATCCCCATGGAGACAGGCTCTTTCTGCTCCACCTGCTGGAGATCTACGGCTACGACACCCTGCTGGTGTCCGAGCAGCTGTGCTGCAGTTGAGAGATTATGGACGGCTGGCTTTATGGCTTTCATCACTGCTGGTTTAAAAAAGGAGGTAGATTTGCCTCGAGAGAATGTTGAGTGCTGCACTACTGGCTTCTTGGAGTCTTACAGATTGTTCCTTTTTTGTCGTATATCCCCCTGTGCTTATTTTGTTCACCCTGGTTCTGCTCCCTCACAGCCTTATGGCAGGAGCAACAATAAGTAAACTCTCATTTATTATAACAAGAAATGTGGTCAGTTCTCTTTGATACAGCATCATGCAGATGGATTACTCCCCCTTGGCTGATTAAAAGTGATTCTCTGGATTGGATACAGCTGCAGTATTTCAACACTGATGTGTGTTTGAATGCTATGGATGGCAAAACCCAAAAGGAGATCAATAAAAGACTAAAGTGGCCTGGACTGCACTCAACATCAAGTAGAGAGAGAAAGCAAGAGACGTCCCTCAAGATGTCCTCCTGTGATTTGGAGAATTTCTGTGGACAAAACTGAGGAATGATGTACAAAAGTGAAGACGAGAGGTAGCCGTCCTGTAAATAATCCAGTTTTTTCCCCTTTATGTATAGTGTGTCAGATTATGTGTGATATGGGTCTGCCTCTCTGCCAATGTTGCTTTCCTTGTATCAAGTGCTGGATTTAAACATCTCATTTTTTAAGCCTCCATGTTGAAATCAGGGCGTCCTTTCCTGAAACGTATGTCACTACAAGCAGGTCAAACAACTTTTGTCTTTAAGAGCCATGTCTGTAAGCACAGTGGTTTCACTTGACCATAACCAGCTTGCCATTTAACCTTAAGACAAATCGTTTTTGCCCCGAGCTAAGACCAAATCAGATTTTCTAATGATGTCCAAAAGGTAAGGTTGATTGTGTCCAGAGGTGATTTGAAATCTTATTTGCACCGACGCTGTTCAAATATGTCTAGTTGTGTTTTTCAGCTCGAGTATCAGGTTATTGACAGCCCTTCAAGGGGTGAGTTGAAAACGTAAAATGATTCAGAGGCCCTGAGATAATTTCTTCAACAACTACTGTCTGCAGATAAGATTATAGAAAATCAGTTTAAACACAATACTATAACTAAAGCTTTTCACATTTTGAAGCACACTTAGCATATGCTGTTGACAGGAAGTTATCTTATGTTGTGGATTGCTGTGAAAACAAGGTGCTTGGCTGTTTATCAGTTAAGTAGTGAGAACCTTAAAGCTGCATTAATCAAAATGACAATGGAGGAAACTTAAATAATGAATACACAGCTCCGACATGATCTCTGGCTTAAGGTTTTTATTGGCTAATGTATAAGCAATAATCAGACATTAGCATTCACGTGGAGTCCTGTTTCTTTTAGCTCTACTTTGGGCTTCACCAACTTCTGAGAAAATTAGCTTTTAGCTGCAAGTTGTTCCACTGTCCTTACTAGCTAGCTCTAGCTGCTAACTTTGTCTCCTGTTGAGCGCTATATAGGTAGAATACAATAGCTTTATGGGACAGTTTTGCTGAAAACAAGAGTCTGTTGACGGTGGAAACATAAAACATGTTCAATAAAACTATTACTAGTTAAACTTCATAAAGCTTCAGGGATTAGCTAGCTTGCATTCCTAGCAAGTTTGTGAGCTACATCACATGTACTTATTTGGGTCTCTGTTGTAATAAATCCTGATTAATGCAGCTTCAAGCAGTTTTTCCCTTTGAAGGGATATACGTTATCAGCTTGCATACCTCCATTGATCAGGTATCGTTTTGAAATGTGATGGAACAGCAATGTTCTCATAAATCAATTTTTGGGGAGAATATCCTAATCAGCATGACGTTAATGCAACGTGAAAACACATGCGTCGAGATAAATTCTATTGACATGACAAAAAAGTCAATTATAGTGTTAACTTGTAACACTATAATTGACTTTTTTGTCATTGTCAATAGAATTTGAAAGGAATGTTTCTTCTTTCTGATTGAAAAGTATCTCACAAACACATCTGTACAAAAAAACTAATAATTAGTATTCTGGCATTTTATGTTTTACAGTGATCATTTTTTTAAACATTTAATTTTAGAATTGATTTAGCTGTGAATTGTTTCAAGTGTCAATATTAAATTGCTGTAACATTATCTGTGAAGAAATGGGATCAGTTGAATGTGTTTTATAAGGCAATTATGATCCCACAGAGCCTCTGTGTATCACTGATGCAATTATGTGTTCAACTGTAAGAGAACAACCTTTAGAATATTTTCACGCCACATCGCATGGCCCCTTAGATCACGTGTACAGAGTTGAAGCAGCCATCTTTGTAGTTGAAGGGATTGTCCGACTCGTGTTAAAACTCCTTCACTTTATTTATTTTACTGTAAACCATTTCATAAATAAAGTGCAATGACACTTATAAGGAAAACACAGTCTGGATATTGTTATCAACACAATTTACATTCCTTAAAATTTCACTTTAAGATTTAATTCATTTCATAAAATGTTCATTTCAAAGCTATCGTCATTAACATCAATGGACTTTAGTCTGTTGTTCTGTGTCCATGGACATGAGTACATTCAAAGTCCCTGTACTCAAGCGTTCAGGAGTTGTCAATGTCTTCAATGATGAAAAAATCCTTGGAGGGACACGCACTTACATCACTGACACATCTTCTGAATGTGCACTGACCCCCCGTCACAGCAGCTCTCAGAACAGCCAGCCAGCGGCCTTTGAGGTCCAAGCCAGAGCAGCAGAACGTGTGGGTGGTGTTGGATTGTCTCAAACAGAAACAAGGCCGACCCTGGAGCTCCTGAGGGGAACCGTCCACACTGCAGCCCAGCAGAGGGACACTGGAGAAGGGCTTCAACTCCTGGAGACATGAAAGGGCGAAGGAAAGGATAAAAAAAAGAAGTTGGTGGATGGCAAGTTGTCTAATGGAGAACATGCAATAATGTGACTTTTTGTACATGATGGCAAACAGAAAATGTTGTTGTGTAGATCGCAAGTTTCAAGATAGGATAGGATATTATATTGGTCCTTTTGACAACGATACAGTATTTTCTGATATTACATAGCCTGCCACATTACACTTTCCATTTCATTCAAATCAGGGTCTTGCAAATTATGCAAGACAATATCATACGCCCATTTGAGAAAATGAGTTACAATGATAACTAACAAAAACCATCCAAAATGATAATATTACGGAGACAACCTAAATAAATGAATGGGCATGAGAAGCAGGTCATTATGGGTCATCGTTTCAGGCTGAAGAAAGAAAATCCCTATTAGGTTTGATTTACAAAAGAAGAAGTAGTGTCAGTGTTCTAACCTTAGCTGTATGAACACCAAGACTGACCGTTTATGCAGTTGATTGCACAACAGCTCTTTACTTTCAGCAGTAATTCCCTTTTTCCATGTGGGTGCATAGTTGCATGTATTGTCTGTTGTGTGGTCGAAGAGGAGCGACTGTGGTGACATTTGTGGGTATGACAACATCAATTGCACATCCTATAGAGACAGTCCCACTCCTTAACAGAGACATGCAAACTATATAACTAAGTCACCAAATAGCATGTTTTCTGAAAAACAAATGCATATATTCTCCATATGAAATAACCACATGGTAAAGCCTATTTTTGTATGGTGAATTAATAAAAGGACTTTTGTGTTTTCTCATTTAATTAGAGACTTAGGGCAAACAGTTTTGAGAGAAATGAGAGAATACATTTGAGGAAAAAAAAAAACGATTATTAATTATGGTAAATTATGGCATACAGTAACCCAGTCTGGCTCGGAATAAGAAAATAAAAGGAATAGCATCTTCCATAATAAACTCAAGGATTAAACCGTATTTCACATTGTAAGAGACCCCTACCTGTAGAGCAGTGTACAGGTGGAGGACTGGGGGTTCAGTGCGGGTGATAACAGACCACACTTGTTGACAGGTCTTAGGGTTGTCGCCATACAGCAGGAAGCCACTCATTTCACAGTCACTGGACACTGTGGATGTCTGGGAACACACATAGAAGAAAACACAATGCTGTTAAAGCCTAACATCCATTTAATGTTGAATGTAACCTTGAAAAGAACAAGGCTAACCTCCAGTGTCCTCCATTTCTTCTCCTCCATACTGTCCCCTCTCCGAGCGATCAGGACGAAGTAGCAGGCTTTACACACTTTGTTCAGCTTGTTGCCATCGTACTCCAAAGGCACTTTGTTGTCTGAACACTTCCAGCACACCACCTGGGGAGCAGAAACACCATCACTATCTTATCCTAAATTAAGCATTTGTTCGGAGTAGATCATTACCAAGACTTTGAAAAAAACAAGAAACCATTTCAAGGTTTTACTGATCAGTGTATACATGCTTTTTGTAATGTCCCCTGTGGTGTCTTCGTGTCCCCTGTGGTGTGTTCATGTCCCCTGTGTAAATGACACCTGCTATTCACTCACACATCCACAGGCTCTGCAGTGATGTCTTCTCCTGGTGAGTGCGTTGAAAGGTTCCTGGCATTTCATACACAAGGTCACTTCGTTGTCCCTGATCCAGCGAGGGGCGCGTCGGCCAAGTTCCTCCATCTGTAAATCAAACGGATAAGATGGGAGTGAAATGTTCTACTTTTTCAAAACAACCCCCTTCTGAAATAATCAATAATGCAACTTACTGGATCTTCTTCCTTTGTCTCCTTAGAAGCCAATTTGAAGGTTTCACTTTTCTTCTGAAACATGTCAATGGCCTCCTGAATCACCTGGAAATAAAAACGTGTTAAAATAACAAATATTTTCCTGATCTATGTGATAAAAATACTAAATAAAAAAGAACCTACCTTTATCCATTCATCTCGGTCTTGTTCAGAGCTTGACAAAAACATAAAAAACCATGAGCTACACATTTAACGCAATGTTAATGGACTGACGTTGTATAATACAGGATTATCTGTTCACTGTTGATGTTACTAATAATCATTTCACACACATGGCCTGCAGCTCAAGGATCCTCTCTTTCCCAGAGACCTGGAAGGTGTACAGGTGGTCTTCGTTGGTGGTCTCCTGCACCTGCATGCCATCCACTCCGATCCTGCAGCGGACCGTAAACCTCTGCCCAACCAGGCTGAATTTAGGATGGCAGCACAGCAGGAAGTTGTTAAACTGTGAAGAAGAAGTTATACACCTTAATACAATATATAATGTACACTTTAGGGCACTCTTAGAGTAGTTTAGAAAAAGTAATCTTGGGTTTTATTCTTTGCCAGAAAGGTAAAAGAAAAAAAGGAAATTCTTTGCAGTTTATGGATCATTTTCTGTGTAAATGTGTAGTGCGTCTGCATCTGTTCCTAACCAGGAAGAGGTGCCTCTCCATGGCCGAGGTGTTCCTGGCAGCAAGCTTGAGCAGACGGCCTTCCCTGAGGAACTCGTTGGTGGGGTTAACCACCTCCTCGTCTCCAACCATCTCATAGATCTCCAGCAGCCGCTTCAGGCTCTCCTACAGGTAAAGAAAGAGAAACAGATCTGTATGGACACAACCCTAGTTGGTAATGGACATTTTTGTCAGTATTTCTTGGCTTATTCAATTACACTTTCAATATGAAAAAAATCCCTGGAGGTATTTGAAAGATTTAAAATTCACAAGAAAAAAGACCATAATGTCAGGGTCACTTTTGACGATATATTACCATAAATGTGCTGGTTGTCAGTGATGATATCTTACTTAACACAATAGTAAATGATGTGACTTACAGCTTTGTGGATGGCACTGTTTGAGTGGGTGGCTGCCATGGAAATAGTCTCCAAGGCCTCTGCAGAAACACAAAGAAAGAGGTTTATTCCGCTCATGAGGGAAAAGACGTACAAATAAATCTAACACACTCACAGCAGGGATGTGGTACAATAACCAAATTGAGATGGTAGAAATACTACAGTGTACATACTGTGAGCAGGACCATAATCTGGGCTATCCTTGTGCAGCTTCTTGAGGTAATCCTTGAGCAGCATCTCATAACGTGGGACCCTCTGGACCGGTTCCAACATGTGGTGCTGCAGGGTCAGGCTGCCACACTCTTCCTGACTCTAAAAACATGACAAGACACACGTGACATCCTATTAAGACCTACATACTTTTATATAAGTGAGTACCAATGCATATCCTGCTGGAAGCGCCTTACCTGTATCTCCTGGACGATGTTTCTGAAGGCAGAGGAACGTTCAGTCCAGGTCCTCACCAGCTCCATGGCCTGGTCAAAGTTCCTGACGTAGTTGGCGTACATCCTCAGGAAGGGTGCGTGTTTCAGCAGAACGGTACCGAGGCCTGGGCTCGCACACCTACAGGTTTAGAGTAAGCAATAACGTTGAGGGGTTATGTGCTGCCTTTTTATGTATAGTTATCCAATTTAAGCGAACAATGTTCTGACCCACAACCTTTTGCGCAGGGGATACATCAGCAAGAGGGTCAAAGTTCAAGGTGAAATGTTACAGAATGATCTGTACTGCATGCAACAGTATATACTGTTTGTAAGTAAGGTGAGCTGCAGTATAATACATTAAAAGTAATAAGTACAGGTTTGTGATTTGGAAGGTAACCTTAAAAGAGACACAGTAGTTATACTGGCAGTAGACACAATTTCCCATCACTGTTTAATTGTAAATTATAGACACATTTAAAATATTCTTCTTAGGAGTTGTGATTCTGTTTGAACAAGAATCCTTTCTTAGTTTGTAAAGGGACTAATTTCCTGTTTTCCAACTAAGGACTACTAGACGCAATGACGTGACCTCTCACCAGTGGCTGATGCAGCTCTCCAGGTCAGGCAGCAGGAACTGGCTGTGGAAGGAGAAGATGGAGGAAATGTTGGAGAAGATGTTTCTGATCGCGTCAGGAGGAAAGGAGCCTCGGCCTGCCTCTTCTGTGAGCCGCGAGCAGAACACCTGTGACAGGAGTTATAGAGGTGTGAGACACTCAATTTTTTTTACATTTTACACTGCCATGTTTAACCTTAGTCTCAGATTCCACAAAAGTGTCTGCATTACATCCTTTTAAAGACTTTATTTGAAAATGTTGGCACTCACCTGGTCTAGCAGGTGGAGACGAGCCACGTAGGCCCTCTCTGTCTGCAGCAGCTCTTTGGCTATATTGTACAACTTCTGCTTGGTGTTCTCTTCATTTTCAGGCTCTCCTCCTCTCTCCTTCCTCATTTCATCACATAGTTCATCTTTACACTCATTGTGGATCTGGCTACCTTCTGTCGCTGCTTCACTCCACTGGCCAGAACACTTGGAGCCATATCCTCCGGGTATCTTGCCTTCTGCCATTTTGTCATTGAAACTGTTCCCATTGACTAATGTGCCATCTCTTCCCTGCACGCTGCCATTCATTTGTCCTGGGGAATGGTCTCTGCCGATGCTGGATAGATGGGATTCACTTGAGGCGTGTCTGAGTCCGTGGTTAACCGGGGATTTGATGGTGATGACTGGCCCTTTGCAGTTTGGGGATTGCAGCAATTTCAGTGAGCGGTCATCTTTTTCAGTTAGAATCCTGCAGAAATTGACAGGAAATTCTAGTGACATTCAGAAATGATTGGCTATGTAATTAAATAACGTATAAAGTCAATCAAGGTGCATAAATGTATCAAATTAAAACCAATCCTACCTGTTCTCATCCATGTAAACAATCAAGTCAGGCACGCTGAGGGATTTTCCAGCTTTCTTCTCTTTTCCTTCCGTCTTCCAGCTAGGGATTCTGTGCAGTCCTAGCCATGATTTAGAGTTCTTGGCGGGTCTATAGCTCCCCATTCTCCCCTGCACAGGGCTGGGGGTCCTCAGTAATCCTGAAAGTGACCTGCGGTTCCTTGGCGACAATTTAGCAGGGCTGTGCCCACCTTCCCTGGATGGGCTACGGCTGTGAAGGCCTCGTTTGCCTGGACTTGGAGATCCTAAAAGTGGACTGCCTCCAAGAGAACCAGGAGAGAGTCTGGCGGGGCTGATATGTGCTCCAGACACATTTAAAAAACTGTTCCCCCCTCCTCTTATTGGACTAGGGGAGCCTAGACAGTTCTGAGTCGGGCTGACGCAGCCCACTCCTCTGTTAGAACTCTGCTCTTGTTGAGGTTGTAGCTTTGCAGTGGGGCTGCGGGCTAAAGCCGGCCCTTCCCTCTGTGGACTCTGGAGGTGAGCTGGTTTAGGAGGCACTGCAAAGAGAAAAACAGCCACAAACAATCAGTGACAAGCCGTAATCTCAAAGAATAAGGATGGATTTATTAGCAGGGGGTACATCTTTTGGTATCTCAACTTTATTTTGTTTCCCGGGGCTCATGATTCCGTTCAAAATCATATAAAAAACAACTTCCGAACATAGTAGTGCTTATTTAGGGATTTATTACAGCTGCCTGTGCCCTAATAAAGGCAGTGTGCTAAGTTATGGCATAAAAGCAGAGCAAAGTGTGTATACATTTATGGAGTTTTAATACCCAAAAAAGGTATAATGGACTGATTGCAGTAATGTTACACAACGTTTTCCAATATTTCTCCATTTTCAACTTTATGAAAATCAAGTAATACAAAGAAATATGCTGCCCGTTTCATGGTAAGCTTAGGCTAGCTGCCTAATTACTTGACAACATTTCAGAAGCAATTTCTTGGTTCTTCCTAAGAAAAAACGTTTTATACAATTACTTTTCGGAAGTTTGATACCCTCTTTGATACCTTGTGGTTTTAAAAGGTGATTCCTTTAGAGTCCAGTGAGTAAATAATGTTCAAGGTAGGGTTTACTTTCTGTCCAGAATCAAGGATGCATCATAGTGTTCACCGCTGTTGCATTACCCTTAGACTGACATCCTTACTACACACCAATTTTTTACTTTCAAATTGTGTAACCCTTTGTTTTCTTACCTGCAGTTTATGTCCAATTGTATGCAAGATATCCATAACTTGAACAACAAAGAAAGACTTGCTGTTCACGCCTGGCTCTGCTGACAGATTTGTTGATCATGTGGAAAATGCAAAAGCCGACTTTCCCAACACTATAATACTTCTGCTTTCTTACTTCTCTCTTTTATTCATGTAGTCTACTCGAGCCAATTTGACACGTTATCGTGAGGATGTCGGTGGCAACTTTTGAAAATACATACTAGTACTATCCCTCCCACTGAATCTTGTCATTTTTACACAGCAACTATTTCACTCAATCTGCATAAATTGATAGCCCCTCAGTTGTAATGCAAGAAAAAGCGTGTGTTTTTCATGTTACAAATTCATTAACAGCCATAGCGTTGCCTATGTGTAAGGCTGCTTGTTCCATCGAGCCTCACACCAAGTGGAAGCATTATTTGCATTGTCGGCCCTGTTTCAGGCTGCATCTGACAGTACCATTGGAGCAAACATACTTCTGTAATCTAAACAGATAGCTGTGCTTCGATGGGGGAACAGAACAGCTTTGTGTGTATGTGTGTGAGAAAGGGATTTACAAAAGCCAGTCTCAAAGTCCAGGCTGAATCAGGAGAAAGAGATTTCACTGCAGTAATCCAACAAGCTAAGAGGCCAAAATTCAAAAACATAAATACAGTGGTATTTCATTCACACGCTGACAAGAACTTAACATAGCAGTGACTGATGTAAGCCAGGCACAGGGAGAGTAAATGCTTTAACTTGCTGCCCTATATAATCACTCACACAGGGCAGTTTGTGCTTTTACAATCTGGTTGGTGTGAACAAAAGACCCTCGTTTTAATGAGACTATATTTTGATAGAGTTTAGAAACAATAACCAGTAATATCCAGTATTTTGTTGCCATAAACTCCAATGAAAACAGCCTATCTTTGGTGACTAGAAAACTACCAATAGGGGCCAGGAGCTCCGAATGTAGAAAGGAAGTCACTTTTGAACATGTTTTTTCCACTTGCTTCCCATTAGTGAAAATGTATCTTTTTCTATTGTTTTGGTTAAAGGCCCTTTCTCCACCTGCTACCATTGTATATTTAATGTTACTCATTTGACAAAAAAGATATACAAAACGGGCTCAATCTTGGACAAAAAACGTAATAAGGTAGTTCAAATTATAATACATTCAGACAATACAGAATGTTTCAGGTGGGGTTTACTTTTTGTCAACCCGAACCAGTACAACAGTTGCAGTTGAATTTGCTATGCAGTATTGTAGTATTAGAGCCAATATAAGCCTACTCGGGCAATATTCTTGTTTTTGTGTGATTATTATGATCTAAACAGCCAGTTTTAAATGAAAGGCATTTCACCTGTGTTTGAGACTACGCACTCCTCCGCACCTTTGACCTTCCGCCTGATCGCCGCCCTCCTGCACTCCTCCGCGCTGCAGTTCACAATCAGACTGTAACTCTTCTTCAAGTCAAACATTATCACAAAGTAAAAAGCCTCAGGTCTAACTTCTTGTAGCGGGATGAGATAGGGAGACCCAGAGACTCTGTGGTTCTGTATTTCACGTGTTCAATCAATCACCCCCACTGATATCTCTTCAGCGGACAAGCCCCGCCTCTCATTTAAAGCACTGACCAATCAGCGCACAGTTTTCAGACTGGGGAGAGAATCTGAGATTTTGACAAGATCTCAGGGTTTCCATGTTATCACTTGAAACCTGATTGAAATGTAATGATGTAATCCCCCCAGGACAATGCATCACAGTGGCAGTTTATGTTGTTATCCCTGTTTAAGATTATGTAGACCCCCTCATGTCATTTTAAATTGCACTACATTATTATTCATTTAGCTGACGCTTTTATCCAAAGCAACAAGTGCTTTCAACCATAAAGAAACGAGCTAAAAAAGCAGGAACTTTTCAAAAAGACAAACCATTTGAAGTGCTATTAGAGGATAGATAAAACAAACATATTTCACACTTTATGAAGATATTGGAACTAGCATGAGGAAGAAGTCTGATGTAAGTGCGCAACATGTATGGTCTCTCATACAAACACACTTTTTCAACCTGTAATTATTTTTTATGGAAGGACAAGGAGGTAATTTGAGGTAAACACAAGTCATTCTTGGAATATGAGTGCTGCAGCAATATTGTGTTGGTAGATCAGTCATGTAATATAAAGTTTTACCTTCACAGTGTAACATCCTTGAAGCTTGGGGATAATGCAAGGTTTTGGTGCAATTACCCTAATATATTCTGAAATGCTTGGAAGGAATGTGTTGTTTTGTCTACTGGACGAAAAGCACTTTGATTAATCATTTGATAATGGGCAATATCCATCAAGCAATACCTATATCCATCGATCACTGAATTCAAAGTCCAGAGTGTTCACCATTACACCATGGAACCACAAATCAGTGCGGGAGGATAGAAAAATCTATCCATTTCAACAAAAATATCTTTCACTTTTAGCCTGCCATGATCTTAAGATGGACTGAACCAATTATTTATACAGCATGACAACTATCAGGGCTGTTATTGCTTTTCCTCCTATGTCACATAACCCTGTATGTGTTGAATTTAACCTCTTTCCTCTCACCATGTAGAAAAATTGCATTCTTAGTATCAGCATTACACAGTCAAATTCAAATCAAAGTTTATTCACCATTGTATGACAGTACCAGCTGAAGATGTATTGAGGGGGCAGATCTCACCTTTTCCACCAAGGAGGAGAAAAAAACACTTGCATCTTAGCCCTGCCTTTAATGATAATATGGGTACTTCTTCACTTAGTGATGCATAAAAACATCTAGCTGGTGTCTTTTAAGAATATATCAGAGTTGTAACATACAGTCTTCCTCTGTCTGACAAAAATATATCAAATAGTATTCTCCCTGTATTGCTAAACATATTTACAAAAGTCAAATTTACTAAGGGGAACAGGGTATGCCTAAAGAATGAAGACATGTTAACAACTAGAGTGTGTGTGATGGAGATAGAATAAAAATGGCTGCCATTGTGACAATTAAATACTGATAAGTACAAACAGAAATAAAGATTTATAATATAATTTGAAATATGAGAGTAATACATCAGAATGAATAACTTCTGTTTGTAATTTCTAACAAAGTCAATTTTGCTAAGCTGTGTAATTGATTTGATTTGATAACGGTCTAAAAAAAACATTTTAATTTAAGAAACAACTAGCATCACTGCTGAATGTTTGTCTTTTGAAAACGATTTTTTTCATGACATAGTTTAAAGGGGCCCTATCATGCTCATTTCGAGAAACTCCCTCTTGAGGGGACTTTGGGATTTGGGACTTAGCAGACCATTTACATGCACACAAACACACTACAGGGAAGGGAAAACCTCCAAAAGCATAATATGGCCTCTTTAAGAATATGATGCTAGGAAGCAGCTAAAAAGTTAAATATAACTGACAGGTACAAAAATCATTCTAAAAGCATGGTTCTTTACAAACTTGCATTTGGCTGTGAAGTCAGTTCTCATTAAGACCTTAATTATTGAATCAATAAGAATAAAACATAGTGAAAAATCCCTTATTTTCCTGCTATCAGTTTGTTTTAATGCGAGTGTGAAAGTGAATTCTTTCAGTTTCCTGCAGTGATATAGATGTACTCCAGGGTGTGTCAGTACACTGTGACATCACTGTGGGCGTGGTTACATGTGCACACTTCTCGCCCCACCCTGATTGAGATAGTAAAACAAACTTAAAAGTTCAAACTACCAAGTTACCCTTGAACTCTGTCTAAATCTGCTAATGGGGTTGAAATGACCTTGAGTTAAGATTTTCCTTAAAAACGACTTTTATGCAGATAAATTATTCTAATGTAACTCAGGCTTTCTGAACTGAATCCTGTTTTCCCATTATGTCAATGATCAATTCTGTCCACTGGCTACTGAACACAAGCTTCAACATTCACGTTTTTGTGTAGATGATCATTCCTTAACTAAGTATGATAAAGGCAGCATTACAATTAAATGAGAAAGACATCATTTTAGATGATTTAACAAAACTGATTCTTGATAATAAAGGGAAAACAGGTTTCAGGTTGAAAATGTGGTGTTTTAACGTAAAACACAATCCTTTAAAACTGCAACCTTGAGAACAATCAGAGCTAGTTCGGCTCCCATTAGGCGTCCAACTCTGGGTTTTGTGTGTGGATACACAGACGCGTATAAACCACACATGTCCCTTGTCCATGATGTAATTTTTTTACATAGAAAGCCAAGAACAGACAGGCATGTAGTCCAAACTTTGGCTCTCCTCTCATTCACACACACTGTCCAGAAGCAATGCTAGATGAAGCTGGATGTCTGACTGAGGCAGGCAGACGAGTCTCTTCCTGTTCAGATGGAGGTCAGTGAGTCTCAGTACTCCACGGTAATTGCTTTGGTCTTGAGGTATTCCAAGAGAGCATCCTCTCCTGTGGATCAGAACAACAGAACAAAAATCACTGCACTGATTCGAGAACAGTTCAACCAAACCAGGTGTCAGATTTAATTTGACTGACTTTTAGAGGTGGAAATAACTAGTATTTGAATCTAGAAAGAGTATTTAAAATATTTGTTTTTCTTTTAAGCCTTTTGCTCTTTTTATCCAGTGTGGGGAAACACTGGTCCAAGGTGTGATTTAATCCATTTCTCGCCTTGATGGGAGAACTATAGTCGCCACCTTAAGGTTGTTATTGGACATGATGCATAAACAACTTGATTATTCTAAATAGTCGCCTGGGAATATTTCCTAACTAAACTATTCATAATGACAGTGATTAATTAGTACATTTAAAACAGTAACACAACTTTCTAATCTTCCAACCCCACGTCTCTACTCACCGAGGTCTTTTCCGAAGCCAGACTGCTTAAAGCCTCCGAAAGGTGAAGCCACGTCGGTCTTGTTGTAGGTGTTGACGAAAACCGTCCCAGCATCCAGCCGCTCGCTCACGTACATGGCCTTGTTGATGTCGCGTGTGAAGACGCCTGACGCCAGGCCGTACTCTGTGTCGTTGGCTCTCCGCAGCACGCCGTCCACATCGCTGTAGAGAGGTAACCGGTTAGAGACTCAAAGTAAACAACAACCCTGCAGCAACCAGGGTGAGACACTCTTTTTCTCACACATCTCAAGACCCACCCATCTTTGAATTTGGACACCACCATGATGGGGCCGAAGGACTCCTCTTTAGCGAGGAACATGTGGTCCTCCACACCAGTGAACACAGTGGGCTCCATGAAGAAACCTGAAGGAACACGACCACAGTGAGACTGTTAATCAATTGAACTGTTAAACAATTGAACTGCTGAAACAATTTCAAAACATTCATCTGCTACTTAGTAATATATATCTACTATATATCATTCCAATAACTTGTATATAGACTCGTACTGCACTATTCCACATACTCACTTTATTTTAGAACTATTTTTCTTTTTGTATTACTCTTACTATCTGTATTATTATTATGTTGCATTGTTGGAGAAGCCTGTGACATAAGATTTTCAACGACATAATTACTCTGTAGCTATGTCAGTTTGACAATAAAGAACCTTGAACCTTGAACATAAGCTAATGCTAACATGATGCTAAACTTCAAAAGAGAAGACCGAAAACAAGAACAGACAGCTTCAACGCAAACAAATTGAAACAAATTCAACAAGTGAAAAACTTAAACATCTAAAATAAAAACCTGTCTGTAATGTTTATAAAATGTAAGATACATTTTCTCCTCGCTATACAAAAAATCAGAGTTGTCACAGTAAATACGGCTAAAGCTAACTGTTACTAAACATACACCTGTGTATGTGTGTAAATGTGACCTGACTGTAATGAAAATGAACCACAGACATTTTGCTGTTGTTCATAATGTGTAGAAGCCAATTGCCTGAGGGAGGCTGTGTGTTTTACCTGGCCTGTCCACCTGTTTGCCCCCATACACCAGCGTAGCCCCCTCCTTCAGTCCGACCTCGCAGTACTCCAGCAGCTTGTCCATGTGGGCTTTGTGATTCTGTGGGCCGTGGTCTGTGGAACGATCCAGAGGGTCTCCGATCTTCATCTTCTTGAGCTCTTCCACCTTAGAGGGAAATGGTGGAGAAATACAGACGATATTTTTCTGACTCATGATGATATTTTTGTATCTTCTGCTCAACTTGACACAATCAAACTGCTTTATGGGAAGTGTCAGAGGGTGTGTCAGTGTTTGGCAGAGGTGGGAGTAAGTCATACATGTGCAAGTCATGAGCAAGTCTCAAGTCTTAAACTACAAGTCTCAAGCAAGTCCCAAGTCACTGTGGTGAGAGTCAAGCAAGTCAAGTCAAGTCATTGCTCAGGTCAAGCAAGTCACAAGTCAAGTCCAACGAAATTCTGATCAATAACCCCAGTTTCCGCATTTAAATCAGTTAAAATATTGTAGTTATGAAAAGTTTTGTTTTATTTTCAAGATAAACAGCAATGGAGAGTGGGGCGCTGAAAGTTCTAAAAGGTCTCTAAAGTGATAACAGGAGTACAACACAAATATTTTTACATCAACATGTTAAGCCTCCTGCCCTGGCTCCCCTTCAGCAGGGTCACAGCATTCCTCCATGGTCTGGTGCTCCCATATGACACTGTCTCATTGTTTTCCTAACTGTGTCTGTGCACAAAGAAATATTGCATCAAAGCCAATACAACGGAATAGTGTATGTACCAGGGCGCATGATATGTGTGTGTGTTTGTGTGCAGACAGTGCAACATTAAGATTAAACACATTTCTTTCATTTGGGAACACCCACATATACATGGAGTTGGACAGATGTGTGTAAATTACTGTTTATGGTAATTTGAAAACAAATGCCGTTGTCGGACACACACAAACACACCGAACACACACACACACACAGAGCAGAGCTGAGCAGAGCACAAACACACACACACATCATGTGCCTTAGTGACCGGACATCTCCTTCATAAAACGAGTAATAGGGGGATTAATCGGGCAGTGTGTGTGTGTGTGTGTGTGTGTGTGTGTGTGTGTGTAGAGGTGTGTGTGGTTAAAACGTACCAGCCTGCGGTCGCTCTTCAGCTGTTCTAATGAAAGTAAACACAGTGAAGGCGTTGCGTAAAAGGCACAGCTCTTTGCGCACTGGTGCTGCACTTCTCAGAGGCGGAGTTACACGTCCTGGTGCTGTAGCGATTTCATGAAGTGAATGAGAGTCCGAGTTCGAAATATATCTAAAATAATGTATGGACTGCCATTTCCCAACATAAACATTAGAGTCTGCAATGAAACGGTTGTCTCCTGTGTGCTCCACTTCCTACTTGGCGCTCCGGTAACTTTCTCGTGCGAACGAGATACAGTATATATTTTCTTTTCATTGCCCTTTAGGGGCTCCGTACAATACAAAAACAAATGCAAATATTTTATTTAAAAAAAAGTGAAGTCGTTTCGAGTCATCTGTCTCAAGTCAAGTCAAGTCTCAAGTCATGAATACCAAGTCAAAGTCAAGTCAAGTCTTTTATCAATGTTAGCCAAGCAAGTCTCAAGTCCAAAAATATGCGACTCGAGTCCCCCACCTCTGGTGTTTGGCTTACTCACCACTCGGCTGATGTACTCATCGTGAATGGACTCCTCCACAAACAGACGTCCAGCAGCAATGCAGTTCTCTCCCTTGTTGAAATAAACCGAGCTCATGCCCTGTGGAGCAGCACACACACAGACAGAATTAAGAGCAAGGCATTTGACGCAGAGTTTATGGCTGGTTCCTGAGCTCACTGAAAGACCTTGACACTCTCTCACTAGGCTCTCACCATGCGAACAGCCTTGTCCATGTCACAGTCACTGAAGATGATGAGGGGCGACTTCCCTCCCAGCTCCAGAGACACCTTCTTCAGGTTACTGAGCGCACAGCTGCGACAGGAAATCACAGAAAAAAGAGGCATGAAGTTTGACCAAATCCAGTAACAATGTTTGAGTCTGAGTCATTAAGTTTCAGGTCATACCTCTTCATGATCTGTTTGCCGATGGGTGTTGAGCCAGTGAAGCCAAGCTTGCGGATGTCTGGGTGGTCAGACAAGCGCTGTCCCACCATACCACCTTGTAGAGAGAACAGGGTTAGGAGAAAAGATTATGGTTCAATGAGGGATCTTCCAAATGTAAAGATTAAAGTATCAAAGTAAGGTGATCATTTGAGTTATTCCTATTCTCTCCCTGTCACAACAGGGTGTCACAGAAACAGAAAACAGCACAAGGTATCGAAGGTAGGCTGTATATCCTTATGTAACAGTGGTAATTGTCAACAAATCGCATACAATTACTATAGACCAACAATTTGTCCGTCCATCCCTTGATATTTTCTGATAAATCTATAAATACAAGTACAAATAAACAGTTACATTCTTTAGTTTGTAAAACTGATAGTAAATAAATGCTTCATTTATTTTCCGGGGACTATTTTCAGCGGTGGATTAATCCACATTTGGTGCTCTAGTGAGCATTTCTTGCAGTTTATGAAAGAACATATGCTTCATGGACAGAGGAATAAGATATCAGGTTTTGGATTTAGGATTTGGAAACACATTAATTGTTGCTTTTGGACTTTTTGTTGAATCCGATGCATGTAAACTTAAAAATGTGCATTTTATAAAACGTGTGCGCTGTTGATTTATGATTTTTAGTTTATATGTGTATTTGAGATTATGACATGAAGGACACATATTACAGATGATTGATAAATAAATAAACACATTTTTTAGACTATGTGAATCCTGTATTTGTATTCATACCTGAGCCGGGCAAAATGTTAATGACTCCTTTTGGAATGCCAGCTTTCGCTGACAGCTCAGCAAACTTCAGTGCCGTCAATGGAGTGACCTAAAAAATATTTAGAAAGATGTTTGAGACACAACCTCCTCTGAGACCACAGTAAGTAGTTCAACCTTGGTCAGTGCTTTATCTTAAAAAAGGTGAATGTACCTAAAAAAAGAAACAGTTGATGTACTAAAACGAGAGTGTGTGTTCTCACCTGTGCGGGTTTAAGAACAAGTGTGTTTCCTGCTGCGAGGCAGGCAGCACTCTTCCACGCCAGCATCATGAGAGGGTAGTTCCATGGGATGATAATGGCACACACACTGACGCAGAAACAACACACACACCTCTGTAAATACATTCATTACATTTAAATAATAACTTTAAAACACAGGGCAGCATTAAGTAAATTTAGAGCATTTACCCGATAGGTTCTCTCTTAGTGAAGGTCAGATTGCGATTGGGCCTCGCTTGGTTGATGGGGATCGTCTTGCCCTAAAACAAAGAACCACACGCACCTCTGATATTAAAATCAGTGTTTATTAATTATGCATAGTGTGTTTGTGTGTGTGTGTGTGTGTGTGTGTGTGTGTGTGTGTGTGTGTGCCTGAATGTTAACCCACGTGGATCTTGTCACACCAGCCAGCGAAGTACCGGAAGGTCTGGATGGACATGCCAACGTGTGTCTTGAGGGCCAGCGTGTACACAGCGCCTGAGTCGATGGTCTCGATGGTGGCCAGCTCCTCCTGGTGCTCCTCCATCAGGTCTGCCAGCCTGGAGGAAGTCAAAGGGGACAGTGTGAGGGTTTGTTCTAAAATGTTATGTTGCACAGGCATAGAATGATACTGCTAATCCAACATTTCACTGCCTGTATCGAAATAGGATATGAGGTAAAGTTAGCGGACTATCTTATTAGCTATCTGACCTATCTATTCTGGAATTATTATTTGTAACTCCTAAGTGTTGAATCCTGCTCTAGAGTCCCTTTGTCTGCTGGTAAAGGTGTTTTGAGAGCACATGCAGACCTGTGTTCTTCAGGCTTTGAATAATCAGGATTGATTGCTTGTTTATGTATGTAATACAACTTTAGGCCTCTATGTGGAGCTACTCACTTGAAAAGCAGAGTTCCTCGGTCTCTGGGGTTCATCCTGCCCCAGGGTCCTTCATAAAAAGCTTCTTTGGCAGCAGCCACAGCCCGGTCCACATCACCCACAGAGGCGTAGGCCACCTTACAGATCACCTGGAGAAAGACATAATGGTCACACACAGTTTCAAAATAAGAACATGTTCTGTGTGGATTCATATGACCGTATGTCCATGTGACTCACCGATCCGTCAGTAGGGTTGATGGTATCGTAGACCTTGCCGTTTTCAGCATCCTCAAAGTTGCCGTTGATAAAACACTGGTGTGGCATCTTCAATGTCATGTTGTTTATCTCTTTGGTTGCCTGGGTGCAATACAGCAGTGACATTCCACAATCAGAAGTGTGATGAAAGACATTACAATTTTAAAGACAGTCTGATTTGGAAGTTCAATTAAAGGATCTCACATTAAAATAAATATCAGCCTGTTGAACACAGTTCGACTTCACTATGACATCAAAGTGGGAGACTCACATAGTCGACGACCAGCTCTTCTTCCTGGTCCTCTCCCCTTAGCCTGCGGACAAACATCTGGATGAAGTCCTGGAAGGTAGTGGCCATGTACACGTCCTCGGTCTGCAGCTGGATGCCGGCACACTTCTGCTTCACCTCCTCAACCAGCCTGGACATAGAGATTTCAGATATATATTTAGCTAAATTAATTGCATTTGAAAAGCGCTTTTCCAGTCTTTATGACCCCTCTAAGGCCTTTTCACAAACAAGTCAGCATTCACCCATTCTTACAGAGACAGAGGCTGCCATACAAGGTGCCATCTGCTAAAAGAAACAAAGATCCACTCACACTCTGGTCATTTCTGACTGATTATCGCACTAGCCACGACCCTCACCTGACCACGTCCATGGAGGCGGCTCCGGACTTGAAGAAGTCTGTGGTGTCCTCAACGGCGGGGACATTGCTGAGGATGCCCTTCCAGATGTTCTGTGATAAAGAAAAGGATTCTATATCAGCATCGGCTTTGGGTCAAACATCAAGTTAAAAGAGTCAAGATTAATATCATCATTAAAGAGACGACAAAACTCCTGCACAGCCACAATCAGCTAAACAAAATCAAACTCCAGTAACTTGCCCTGATCTCCTCTGCTATCTTCTTCTCATCATCAGTCAGCTCCACACTGGAGCTTTCCCCAGAGGAGAAGTATTTCGCAGCAGAGATCATCTTCCCATCTTCAAACTGCAGGTTCTTCACCAGGAGCTGATGAATAAACAGGATGGATCAAATACAGGGGGGTCAACTCATTCTGTAATTGACTTATCAGCTAACAGAGGCATGAGCGTTGCTACACTCGCCCAGCGCTTCCTTTGTTTACTCTGAATATTTGTTTTGTCGTACAACAGGTGATAGAGACACTTACAGCTTTCCCATCTGTTCCATACAGCACCAGCCCGTTCTTGGTGACCAGGCCGGGCTGCGATGCCCCCTCGATCTCCAGGGGCTGACCAGCTGGTGCCGACCCCCCCAACATGGACGAGCCATAGAGGGTCACAGTCTAAGGAGGGACATCAAGAGAAGCACTTAAAAAACAATATTTTGTCGGTTTGAAGTCATTATTTACTATATACTGCTGTCCAGCACATGTGTTTGAAGACAAGTTGGTCTTGTAAATTGCGACTCTTATTTCATGTCTGGTTGATAAGACATTCTTTACTTCCTTCATTAGTATTTTTGCTGATAGCATATGTTATTTTCAATTTTTTATGAAAAAAAAGTATATTAAAAAAACTACAAAAAAGTTAACAAAGTGCCAATAGATGATAGACGTGATGACCTTTCATGTCAATGCTATGAAAAGTAATTTACATTTCATTATTAAAAAGAGGATTGAAAAGAAAAGATGCTTTATTAAGTGGTTTTATTGATCCCACTCTGTAAAACTGTGCATTTCAACTCATCCGTAGAATGTCAGAATCATTATCAGCCATCCAAACCTCTGTAAGTCTGACCTTGTGTGTGTGTGTGTTTTATTTGCATTTGTGCTCCAAAAAACACACCTGACCATCGATGACAGTGGTTGCTCCGGGGACTTTGTCATGGCCGCGGATCCAGTTGTGGATGGTCTCAGCCGGCTGGGCCATGTTGACCTGAGGGACAGAAAGACACCGCAGTCAAAATGCTGACGACTCAGATTCCTTTTCAGATCAGGTCGTCTACATTTCTGAGAATGAGAGGGAAGCCCAACAGCTGGTGAGAGACACGTGGAAAGCTGATGCTGGGAAAAAAAAAACTTCTGCACTAAGAATAGCAAATTTTGACACAGTGCCAGCAACGTGGCTATGAGTGACAAATCAGAGAGCAGCTAAGACCGGCCCCACCTCTTTCTTTACTCTTGTAAGATAAACACTAGTCACTCTGTCCCTGGACCACATGTTGGGCCAGCAGTACATTTATATGCAGTTCTCTGAAGCAGCTGTCCAACAGCTAAAAGTAGCAGAATTCATGCTGTGTATTTTTCTATGTAAAACGTGGCACCCTGAGCTTCAGCACAGTAATACCTTTAGATGGAGTGATGTATATAATGTGCCCCATCACTGTTAAGGGAAGCACCTTGCCCAAATGCTCGTGGAATACTACAGTCTCCAAGATGTTTTTGAAAAACTGTTTTTTTATTAGAGAACAATTATCACATTTTTGAGTGATGAGAGAAAAAGGTTTAACAAGAGATAAGTTAGGGTCTAAAGGGTCTTAATGAATATTGGTATTTGACACCAAGGAACCCTAACCAAAATAGATCCAGCTTTTAGAATTCTAAAAATGTCACTCACACATACCAGAACATTTAACCGACATACGTTGTCTGTAAATCCAGTCATCAATGTAATGCAGCTTTTTTGATTTTTGCTACATTTTTAAGGCAGATAGCTGCAGCCACATGGTGTTGCTGCAATGCATACACTCTAGACAAGGATTCATTTATAAATGTACAAATCATTGGATTTTAATGTTAAGAACCAGGTGAGAATGTAGGAGCTCCTTTAAAGTAATACTTTACCCACAAAAGGACAATTTGTATCAATTACTAACCGGTGTTACCTTGAATTTGTGAGAAAAAATATATAGTTTTGTTGTTGTAAAATGCTCTGCGACAGTAACGCCACTTTGCCCAGCTGGTGATCCAGCATGTTGGGAGTGAGAGCTCTCACCTTGGCGTTGGATTTCTTCTGAATGCCTTCATAGGTGGCTCCTTCCTCTGTCTGGGGAATCCGGGGAGCCTTCCCATCAGCAATGAGCTGAACTGACTCCACCTGCACCAGGAAACAGTGTGTTGTTGTGGAAAGATAGACAAGGCTGACAACTGAGCATCATGGGAAAGAGTATGAAGATATGTCCCGACAGGACTACTTGATAGATTGTTATATTTCAAAAAGCCTGTATGTAAATACATGCTGATAACACACTCTTCCTGATAACGGTCCTCATGTGATCAAAAGGATTACTTCATGCAAAAATATTGAATTCTAGATGGTTACCATAGCCTTGATGCCCTCTGGGAAGAGGAAGCGGTTGTAAAGTGTGTCCACAGTGTCATTGGGCTCCACAGCACACTCCCTCTGCAGCAGGATTGGTCCGGTGTCCAGTCCATCATCAGCCCAGAACACTGAGAATCCAGCCTTCTTATCACCATGGATCAGGGTCCTTGTAAAACATAAAACACAAAAATCACATGAAGTTTTACAGAGACTGCAAACAGTGTCTTTAACCAAAGATACTACAGTTTAGCACAATTCAGTTTTCACTACCTGAAACGTGAAATACAGACTAATTTTAAACTTTGATGACTGTAAAATATTTGGACAGAGCTAATCTAGCAGTTGGCCCCCATAGTCAAGAGGCTAGGCTAACCGCCTACTGGCTTTAGCTTTAATAATAGTTAATGGACAGACATCACAGAGTAATTACTCTCCTCATCCCACTATATCTTCTGACTTTCAATTAATTTATGCAGCAGGTAGCATGTCACCACTGCCAAACAGTTAAACATGTTGTGTTTTACCGTTGCAAACAAACAGAAGCTATTTATTTAGACAGTGCTAAAAGGAACAGATAGATAGTAAGGGTGGAGGAGAAATAGACTAGCAAGAGGGAGAGATAAGGAAACCAGTTTGCCAGCGGGTTAGGGTCAAACAGAACTGGTTTAAACTTCCTGCTACACAGACCGAAAGCAGCAAACACCCTTTAGCTCCACCCTGAAACCGGAAAACAGAGGGCGTGTGAACTATTGACCTTTATTTCTCTGAAGTCCAATTCACAAACTATTAAAGAGTAAGCTAGCTTGTGTAACTTTTGCGTAACAGCTGTGTTAAAGCAAAAGGGATGGTTACAGGCTCAAATTAAGTTGAGAACTAGAGAAGACTCATAAAGCTATCACATTTAGCCAGTGATACAAGTTCAAATGAGCTAACACAATATCGAATATCGATCAGGGGTTAGTTAAAATTAGCTAAAATTATCTACCGCAGGCTACTAGTCATACCAGAATATTTGTATGCCAAACAATGTGGTATTTAATGTCACTGTTTATGCTATCTGAACATACAAATTTTAGCCTGTCTTTTGATTGGAATAATTTATAGCAATTAGGTTAGCTATCTACCTTATTGTTTTTAATTTAATTTAATTAATTGTATATACATTTATTCTCTCTTTTTGTGTTTATTCGTCTCGATGTTTTTGATAGATAGTCAAAAATGTCCAAGATCTGAATAGTGTTTTGTAAAAATGTGGATTAAAACTGTACAAAAAGTCAATCTATAACAGCTTCTGGCAGACAAACAATTGCTAACCAATCCAAAAATGGGATACACTGCCAAACAAAACAAAACAAAACATTACATTGTTTTGTATTATGCATTTCTCTAGGTTTAAAAGTTATCGAATTTCACAATTCAACAAAACGTAATCATATAAACTCTTTTAGTTATATTTTGTTTCAATAAGCGTTTAATTCTGGCCTCACATTGGCTGTGACCATGAGGTTTCTTAACACTTGTAATACACATGTCTGGTGTTCCTGTGTATATTAGCATTTGATAACAGTATGGTGCTACTGTGACCATTGTCAGGTTATTATCATATGGCTGTTACGGGTTGTAATTAACATGTCTAATGTCTGTTCTTTGATCCCATATGGTTTTACACGTTGGTGCAATTATTCTTGAATTCTTTGACTCTTAAATCAATAGCACAACCTTGTTTTAACTTTCACATGTGTTCATTTCTTACCAGAAGATGATATTATTGTGGACTTTCCCCAACATAGTAATTTAAAGACAATTTATTATGTAAAAAGTTGATTTACTGATAACCCAGACTTGTTTGCGCGTAATAGGTTATCTGAAACGACTGTTAGGAATGTGAACGTCGCTGTGGTCATTTCTTTACTACTGATAATCTATGTGGGCAGTGAGCCAAAAGCACAGAAAAGCAGTGATACTGTCATGTAGTAAATATTATTTACTGTCTGCTTCCTATTAAAGGCCTGTTCGATGTGTGATATCAAAGATATATTATTTTAGGATATTATCACCCACTCTTCCCTCACCCCTTCCCCTCCCCCCTTCCTCACCAGTTGATGGCCGACGCTCCTCTATGCAGGGGCAGGATGGAGGGGTGGTAGATGATGGAGCCGTGCTTGGGGTCATCGATTACGTTCATGGGGATGAACTGGGAGCAGAAGGGCATGACGTTGAGCTCGGCGCCCACAGTCTTGTACGCTTCCACCACCTCTGGGATGGGCTTCCCCTTGACTCGCCACCGTGGGAACTTGAACACCGGCGTCCCGTCCTTCTCTGCCGCCACCGCTGAAAGAGTAAAGGAGAATTTATAAGTATAGTTCAGAAACCTGAAATAAATTGCAACGGGAAATTTGGAGTTCATGGTTGGAGCCCTAACCCTAAAAGCAATAGTGTTTAAATTGATTTCCTAGCTTCTTTAGAAATAATATCAGCTCATTGGTCTAGCTGTATTCCACACTTCAGTTTATTTATAATATCTATATAATTGATCAAACTTGCAATGCATTTCACAAGTTAGGACCTTTTTGGAAACTTTGCAGGATTTAAGATATGAGATTTGTCTGAATTGACATTATCAAACACTATAAGATATTGTTGAATCTTAACTATTCAAAATATTGTAGGAAGGTATATCTGTTTTGATATACCATAAGAAATATATAATATTTTTAACAGAACATTCCTAAATTAATATCTTATCAATATCAACATTTTGAATAGACACTATAGTAGATTGTTCATATCCTAAAGAATCAACTAACACAATCTTACTGCTTGTATAACACAGACAAGTAGTACTTGACTCGCTGTCCACAACATAATGGCGGTGTTTAGTGTATTATATAAAATATAAAAAAATGAAAAGTAGGCAGGACAGCTTAAAGGTACAGTGAATAAGAAAGGAAATAGTTCAATATTAAACCCTCAGAGTAAAGTAGGATGGTCAAGAGGCAGCGGAGGATAGCTGCTGCTGAGGATTTTTCCTGGAAAGATTGCATCATATCAAAGAGTGCGGCTCGATTGTAGACTTTTCACCTCAGAGCTGCATCTCGGGGCTACACAGGGCCTCTCCCCACACAGACAATGGAGCCACTATAGCGCAGCTAATGCAGGGTAAAGGCCCATCTTTGTGCAGGGGCACTCTGGAGCCAACACGCATCTACCTCAGCCACAGCACAGGCCTGTAATGACCACCGCACACCCAGGACGGAGGATCATCACAGGCCGGCACATCCAACATTTTCTTTCCAATTATTTCTAATGCAAACTCAAAACATTGATTCCTTTCCATGTATTTGTTATCTCTCAATGTCTAATTAAAATGGAACCAGGAGCTATTTATACACAAGGACAGATTTACGTTGTTAATTCTTGTGTTAAATAGGTCTTTATTTGTTATATTGACTATTTATTATTCAGCTATAACTTTGCCAATAAGCAAATAAATGTGTCTGGTTGAAAAACAATGACACATATTGTTTTAAAAGGAATTTAAAGATCCTACTCATAATAAACTCATCCAACAAGAAATGGCTGTGTGCAATTCTAGACTGCACACAGCTGTCACCCTGCCCTGTTTTCCAAGAGACTGTTGGCTTTGAGGTGACAGATAGACAGAAACAACACATGGGAGAAAACTCACCCAGCGGGTCTGCCTTGCCATCCTTGTCGGGGACTGTGAACACACCCACCACCTTGTGCCCCTGCTTCCTCAGGTTGCTGTACACCTCCTGGCCGAACAAGCTCTGGCCGATTATAGCTAGTTTCAGCTTATTCTGGTAGTAATTCTGAAGGTAGAGAGAACACAAAAACATTAGTTTCAGCTTCACCCAGTGTGAATCTGCATTAGTTGTCTCATACAAGCCACAGCGCTTTAATAACTTTGTGTGTACAAAGAGCTTTTTCTCAGGAGAACAGGATTAACAACACATTTTCTTGAACTCTACTCTAAAAATGTTATGCAACTGTAATTATTCATTGATCTCCTTGACATATAAATCCACTGAAAGCACCTTTAATACATGAACTACAGTTGAGCAATGCCAAACCTTCAGTTATTCATCAAAAGAACCAACACTGGAGTAAGTTACTGCAAACAACTTCATAACTGGCTACAAAGACTTACTTACTTACTGGTGCTACACAAGTATAATTTAATTTGTGATTTATATGTAAAAATATTTGTATTAATCAACTAATTGTTTGGTCTATAAACTTCAGATTAATGGTTGTATCCGACACACAGTCCCATCCCAAAGTTATTAACTTTGTGTGCGATTTACAAAGATTGAAACACATGAAAAACTGTAGTTAAAGGTTTGTTTTTGTTTACACTTTAAATAAGCAATTAACTCATTTTAAAAATGGTTATACATTTGTCACCTTATTAGCAAGAAATTCAATGAATTGTCAGCCTTATATAAAACATGTATGAGTGCATTAAAAGCGTGAACTGAACGAGATGGGGGTGGGATTGAGGGGGGGCACATTCTTGCCTGTCCCAGGACCCTTCAAATTACGATTCCACCCCTGGCCCAAATGTCATTCAATCTGTCAAATTGCTCAAAGCCAGCTCTGAGAAAAGCTATTGGTTGACACACAGTGCACAGACCTAATCTAGAGTGAGAGAAGTTCAAGTGGCCAACTCCCATCTGAATGTGACAGCACATGTGTGAGAGAAGGAGGTTTCAGGTTTCCCATGCTCAGATTAAATGTCCTGTCAAGTACTCGAAGCTGACATTGGATTTAGAAACGTGCTTCATGACGCATTCAAAGCCATATATTCCAACCAGCACACTGTGGAAATGACAGTGCTACAACCTCAAAGTAATCACAATGAATGGGTAGCTGTTTGCAGCCCAGCATGATCGTATCTAAGCCGCTGTCGGTACAGTGGAGCTCATATGCTGATGCAACTCCTCCAGATATTGTACAGTAGCAGTGAGAGAGTGGAGCGCACAGTAACGTGGCACTGATACACCATCCATGACTCTGTTTTTTTTTAAATATGGTAGCTAATGGAGTGACTATTTACAACGTAGACATGAACTGTGACTCAATGAACCGTAATCAGAGTCGAGCCTGGCTCAGTCCTCTACACTACGACCTGGCATGCGTTCAGTATTCACCGGTATGTTTTTATCAATGCAAGTATAAAAGGCACCATTCATTCTTTGGTGCAGAATAAGAAGCGTTACTCACGGACGAGGTGGAGAATTTCCTTAAGACTTGACTCGCTGTCCACAACATAATGGCGGTGTTTAGTGTATTATATAAAATATAAAAAAATGAAAATAAAATCCAAATGCTGCAGAATCTGCTGCTGGCCACACACACACCTTCCTCTATATGTGTGAGTGTGTGTGAGTGTGTGGTTAGAGGAGTGGCCGTTGTCAGGGCTCGCCACAGCCAGCTTACTCGACAGCAGCAGCCTGAGTACGTGCACCGTACGTGCGCGCTCACGCGGTGCTTATAACGTATGTAATGTTTGCCAACGCTTACTATCACCCATGCCATCACCTCGAATGCGCGGTCATGTGTGGGAATGCATAACGTCTTAAAACTGACTGTATTTACACGAATTTATAAATGATTACTGCAGAAATGCAAACAAATATAGTCAATCATTGGTTATATGTTTAAATTGTTTAGTAAATTGCTTTAATCATTAAAAAAGACGTGATTAAAACACATATTTCTTGAGATTTTAAAGATGAGATATTAACTATTAACTAAAAAATGTATAGGCCTACTCGTATAAAACGAATACAAACAAACAGCAAGACAGAAGTGTCTCTAAGCAGACATTAGCCAGGTGGTTTTTTATATATTTTTGAAATATTTTTCCTCTGAGATTAATGAAAATATAAGAACATGTCAAATGTTAAGATACTAAACCAAATAATTGAGAACATTTGTCATTATTTTGAGATACATTGTAAAAATGTTTAGATACCAAGCCAAAAAAAAAAGGTTCTCAATATTTTTGAGATATCTTCTCATTATAACAAGCAGGATGTGTTTTCACCACAGTGGTTCAAACAGGCTTCCAGACGTTTCTCTGTACTTGCCTTGGCAGCGTTCACCTGCTCTGCACCTGCCCACACTCCCACACAGACAAACACACAGCTGGCACCATCCACACTCAACTGCCCTGCACAGGTTCCTGTGGAGGAGAGGGTCGAAGAGTCCACTGACGACCTGGCTGTAGGGGAGCAGGGCAGAGACACATACCCCCCTTTTTTCCTTCAAGGTAGACTGTGCCCTGCGGAGCTGATAACTCATTCTTCCAATAGGAAATCCCTTTATCCGATAAGGTAGTACAAATAACGATGACTTAAATGATTATGCTTGCACGATTAATACAACACTGCTTTGCTGATGCCACTGACTGCTACAAATGTATGTGGTTTTAGAACAGAGGCAAGGGATGAATCACAATATGTCATATAGCCTACTGTACATAGTCCTTAAAAAAATGCAGCCTTGATAAGAAAAATAATCCACTCTATCCCTTATTGAACCAACATATGGTTGTCAAACATCAGGCTGTTTTAGGACTTTGTCAATTCATTTGTTCTAAATGACTTCCTATGTTTTTCTGGTGTCTAATCACAGATTTTTTTTTATAAAACCAGTGTTTTGTGACCTCAGCCAAAAGCAACCAATAACAGCTTTTTCTTTTTGAATAGATAATATAGGATAGATAGCTATGTCTAGGGCTGTGCGATTATGGCAAAAATCATAATCACGATTATTTGGGTCAATAATTGATATCACGATTATTAAATACGATTATTCATTGACTTTGAAAAAATCCATATATAGAACTTTAAAACAAATACAAATAATAATTTGAACAGTATCTTTTTAACTGTTGATTACCCTGAACGTATAATTCAACTGAAAAACCAATACAAAAATAAGTAAAATAAATGATACATTTAAATAAATATCAAAATAATAAATACCAATAAACAAGAACAACAAATATTTTGGAGCGCACTTCCACAAGCTACTAAACATATATAAATATGATAAATACAAATAAATGAGACCAAAATTAATTAGATCAAATATGTTGCAGTGCACTGTCACAACCTAGCAAAGCGAAATAATTGTTTTTTTCGATTATGTTGTTTTCGTAATTGTGGCAGGCCAAAATCGTAATTGCGATTAAAATACGATTAATTGCACAGCCCTAGCTATGTCTATTAGCATTTAACATTATATGCCAATTACCTAACCTGCATCTTTCTTAAAATGTATTTACTTTATTAATACATTACTTTAATAACATAGAACATATTTAAAAAGTTGTCAGAAGAAATAAATTAACATTTTGCTATGATGGATTCTTCTTACAGTACATTTCTTTAGTCCTTAATAGGTTTAATATTTTGGTAGATTGAGGGTTAGAGGCAACAAGAACTAAACATATTTTAAATTAAGCCCAGCGCAGAAGGTCCAGAACTGATTACTGCATTTGATCGATTCCATACTTGATTTTACAATGTTTAATTGAGAAAACAAAGGATTCATAGAGAAACTCGGGGAGCAGCTGTGATTTATTGTGAATATCTTCAACAACATTAAAAAGAGGACTAACGGTAAGAGCACTGGTGGTGGATGTTGCTTGGGGGAGGAGGGGGGGGGGGTTCCCACCTTGGGAGGTCATCCCGCTGTTCTTCAACAATGTGTGAACAAACTGCTTTAGCAGACGGCCGATTCCCTTCTAACACCGCTACTCTAAATCAAAAGTGCCATTTTCTCCCGGTTCATTCCATTGCAATCTTTCAATCACACAGTGCATCTCAACAAAACCAGTTAGGTCAGAAGGGTGTGTGGCGTACAGTAAACTGTCAAAACAAAATCATTATAAAGTCCTGCTCCCGAATAAGAAGCAGTCCTGGAAGGCAAAAAAAGGGAACATGCCCAAAATCTCTTTTAACATTCTGTAAAATAATTTACTTTGTGTCACCACAGGAAACGAGGTGGGGGAAATCACTGGTAGATGACTTTTCCACAGACAAGGTGCCAGTGCTGAAGAACTCAAACCAAGGAAAGAGGCTAAAACTCAAAACAAAACCCTAAATCAGCTGTTATTGAAGAGAGAAAAAGTCCTGACATGATGTTGAAGGTTGTAAAAGATTTCTTTCGCCCTATAGTCATGTCTTGTGTACGTCTTGTGTACATCTTGATTACATCTTGATTACATCTTGATTACTTTGACTCTCAAGCCCGTTCCCTTTTAACTGTAAAAAGCTTCACTAGTTTTATGGCACTGGCACTTTGTTGTTCCAAAAGCCTTGCTCAGTGTATCAAAGGAGGGTTTGGGGGGTCAGGCACAATTCCCCAAGAAAAAGGACCCATGCTAGTGTACACACTCTACAACACGTTTACAGGTGACAAACAAGACGTTCTCCCTTTTCACGTCACAGCCTGTGCTGGAGGAGTGAGGGCAGAGGAGTGATGAGGTCACAGGAAGCGGATTCCTGCTCCAAACTGTACACCATCACATATCCTAAGAGAGGAGAGAAGAAAGAGAAACAACAAGTAAGGAATGAGTGTCAACTTAAGACAATTCTTTATTTCCTTAATCAGTTTGCAGCATTTTGAATAAGAGATAAAGATGCAGAACCAGAGATAGCGTTGTTGTTTTTTTCACTCATCATTAAAACTAACAAGTTGGTAAGGAGAGTTAGTTGTGTGTGCTATGCTTGTAGCAGGCTAATGTAGCCTCTAGTTTCAGCATAGAGGCGGAGAGAACAAGCTTCTTTTACACTTTTTCCATTTGTAGCAAAAGAAACTAAATGTCTGGGCCAAAATGGGTTGAAATTGTCCAAATTGAGCGCACTATTTACATGATGCCGTTGTGTGAAAGCCAGTCAGTGTTTGGATTTTCCTGACAACACTGACATAGACATTGTTGAATCAGAAATGGAAGAAAGAAATATTGTAGCCGTCTCTGGAACTACATTCAGAAAACAATTATTAAAAAATGTCAGACTTTTGACATGTTTTTTTTACACATCAGCATCATAATGTAGTTATTTTGGTATCCTTAAACCCAAATAAAAACAATTTGCAATTAAATCACAGCAAATTGTGTTTACTTTGTGGTTACACTGCTGTAGTAAACTGGATTTCAGCAATGCGAATTACCGCATAACCCAAATGGTCCTGAGATCAAACCTGTGCAATCAATGCAAGACAAAAACTCTCTTGCAGTTTGTTATGAGTCCAGAAATATCCCTGTAATATCTGGGAGTGTTAGTGAATAGTGTACCTGTCTCCACTCTGAACTCCCATGGGCACACAGTAGTTGAGCTCCAGCCTGGCGATGTTCCCGAGCCGCAACACGATGCCTGCTCCGTACGACCAGCGAAGACACTCTGCCATCTTCTGAAGGTGAGCCCGGGGACCCTCACCTGCACACATAACACCCGACATGTCAACGCCCACCTGGGATATCCCACTGTCACTCAAAAGTGATTCACATTCCAGAAACATACTGAAAAGATGCTTGAGAATATTCAAATGTGGCTTAAATGCACTATAACAAATTCTGGAGTGGGGATTTGTTGATTGTTCATTGTTCATTGTTCACTTGGTACTTCTTTGAACACTGCAGGTGCTGTATTTATGCATTTACTAATTTCTTTAGTCACCCACCGTAGTTGAGGTTGCAGAGGTTTCCTGCATTGAGGAAGAAGTGCGTTCTGAAAAGGTCACCGAAGCCCCCCTTGCCCGGTCTGAAGGGCAGAGGAGTGTAGAGGTGCAGACCACCTGCCCAGTACGCCTCTCCACCAAGATAGTCACCTGGAGCACAAAGAGAGGGCATTAAACCAAGATATGTAGTGTGCTTACTTACTTAAACATACACACATGCTTACAGCCGCAGCACTTTATTCATTATTTTAAGTACTTCTCTTTATGGAGGGGTATTGTGTGTGGATGGTGACAGTGTAGAATTAGACATGAAACATGATGTGGAACAACGGTTTCCAGCTGTAATCAATCAAAGGGTGTTGTAGTCTTATTGTCTTTACCACTAAGGCCCAACAATATTTAATGGTTGGTAAAACTATTTGTTAACTAAGAAGTTTGTCTTTGTCTTATAGTTTTGGACAGTAAGCCCCATATTGACTGTCCCATTATTTTTTGACAAAGATGATTGATTAAAGGTGGGGTAGGTAAGTTTGAGAAACCGGCTCGAGATACACTTTTTGTTATATTCCATGGAATGCTCTTAACATCCCGATAGCAATGAATATCTTAAGTGCTTAAGAGACAAAAAATCCATTAAAATGTTTTATCTGTGGAAGCCGTAATACTGTAAAAAGTACGACCAATCATTTTAGCCG